TTCAGTCTTGTCATCTCTTGTTTGACCACATCCAGCTTGCCTTGATTCATGGATCTTACATTCCAGGTTCCTATGGAGTATAGATCTTTGCAGCATCAGACTCTCCTTTCACCACCAGATACATCAGCAACTGAGTGTCCTTTCAGCTTTGACCCAGTCGCTTCATTCTTTCTGGAGCTACTTGTACTAGCCCTCTGCTCTTCCCCACTAGCATACTGGACACCTTCCGACCTGAGGGACTCATCTTCCGGGGTTTTCATGGCAAAGATACTGGAGTGGGTTGCCATTTCCTTCTCCAGTGGATCACATTTTGTCAGAGCTCTCTGCTATGACCTGTCCATCTTGGGTGACCCTGCACGGCATAGCTCATAGCTTCATTGAGCTACACAAGCCGCTTCACCACGACAAGGCAGTGATCCATGAAGGAGCTATATATTGTACATTTACATATATTTACATATATAAATAATAGAATAGACATACTGCTTACCTGTAACAATAGTTCTTTGAATAGTCATCTGTGCATCACACACATGGGGTCTGCCTTGATTCAGGAAGTTTCCATAGCTCAGAAATTTTTGGTGGCAATGCTCCTCTACCTTCAGATCTCTCCTTCTGGGGCTGAGGTGACTACAGCTGGATCCAACAAAGCGTAAGGAGGCAAAACCCTTAAGGGCAAGTCAAGTAACAGCACTGGAATCAGCATCAGAGCTGTTGAGCACTGGAGTGCTCCCAAGAAGAAGCAGAAAAATGCTCTTCTCCTTTATCTGGTCTAAAATTGGCTTTTTTGGGACAATGTTGGACAATGTTTTGGCTGCTGAGGCAGCAAGAGATCACTTAGGTATTGGGGGATCTGTTCAGACCTTGGCTGGAGCTGGAACAAATGCTGAGGGAGAAGGCACTAGTCTAACTAGTGATTAACTAGAGGTTAACTCCACAATGATTACAGAAAAGGAAGCCACCCTTGGCAGGAAAGGTATTGTTGGGCCACTGCAGTATAAAGAATTCCCACTGCTGTTAATGCTCCCTTCCAGAAGAAAGCCTTCAAATTCAGACCTGTTTTCCCTGGGCTGCTTAGTAAAGACTTGGCAGTGTGAGCAAAAATCAACAATGTGTCCCTCACCCAAGCAGAATAGGCAAATTAAGTGGTGGGAATTTGCTGCCATACCGAGCATATTTCCAAAAGACCATACACTTCTCAGATGAGAAGGAACAATAGAAAATTGCTCCCAAACAATAGAAAATCCTCTCTCAAAGAATGAGAAAGTTGTAAGAAAATTAAAAAATGAAATGGGTGAAGGATAATTTGATGACTGGAGCAAGTCTAGTGCTTTCTCTTGAAGAGGAAGGAAGAAAGAATCTTTGTATGAAGGGAACCACAATGCTGGTTGAAGAGGAGTGGTGGGAACAAGCAGGAACCTGCTAGCAATATATGGTGGGGGAGTTTCCTGCCAAAGATCTCTCAACTATGGAAACTTCCTGAATTGAGGCTCTGTGCAGGGGCAGAGTCCATGTGTGTGATGCACAGAGGCCACAAAGAAGAACTAAATGCAATTGTTCTGTTAACAGTATTTGCCATTCAAAGCAATAGTTGGAGGGTTTGTTTTTTCCATAAGTTACAGATGGGCAACTGGCAATTCCATTCTTCAGGAGTATCTTGTCTGTGTCCAACCTTCTCTCAAATATTTGTTTGCTTTTCTTAGGTATTTTCTTCTGCTGTGGAACTCAGGGCAGCATACCTGGCATTCCAGGACAGGAACCAATGATGGAAACCAGACCTGCTTAGTGTCAGCAAGATGGCTGCATTTCGTGCTTTCAGATCATACCCTGGTATGCCAGTTACATTCTCATCAATTGGACCATAGGCTAAAGAGTTTTGTAGCCCTACTCTGCACTAGGGATGTTCAAGGTCTTCATATGATCTGCATTTTTAAGAGACCCATTCATTCCACATATTCATGTAATATGCAGATCAGAATGAAATTATTTTGGGTTTTACTCTTCTCCAAATGTTGCAATTCTTTTCCTGGCTTAAAATACATACTAAAAGCATATAAATGCACACAAAATGTGTATTTTAGCATAACAATATGTTAAATTGTGCAAACTTGCATGCTTTTTGAAATTTGCAGATTGATGCAGCCTTATCTCTGTCCCTACTCTGTATACCCCATGAACAGCAGCAGCATATTCTCTTTATATGTCTTCACTGCTTGTGCCGTATAAAGCAAAATGGAGTGAACAGTTGATGTGCATCAGAGAAGGGACCACAGTTCAGTGACAGAGCACCTGCTTTGCATGCATAAGGTCCTGGGTTCTAGCCTTGCTTTCTCCAGGTAGCAGAGGAAAATCTTCTGCCATTGAAGGCCTGGAGAGCTACTACAAGTCAATGTTGACAAGACTGAGCTAGATGTGCCAAAAGAGTGACTCGCTATATGACAGCTTCTTATGATCCTCTCACTAACAGTAGTGTGATCTGAAATCTTTGCAGAACTTTCAATTGTAGATGGATAAAATAGATGCTATACACAGATGTGTATACAATTACTCTGTGTGATATGTGTATAAATAATACTACATTTTACAGAAGGTGTAAAATCATCATGACATGGGATTAGGAGAGAATTATAATCACCCTGACACTTTATTCATATGCCTTTTTCCTACTCCAAATTGCTCCCCCAGCTTTTCCTCCTGCAGGGATTTAGGTGTATGTTTTGCTACATATATGTTACAATCCTATGTATACTTACCTGGAGTCCATCCCACTGAAAATAGGACAGAACTGAGTAGACATGCACAGGGGTGCACTGCTAAAATTTCATAGGGTGGGGAATTATTCTGTGGGATGGAAAAGTCATTAAGTGTCTCTTTCGCTGTGATTCCTCCAATCCTGGTTATTCCCCTGGAAGTGCCTTGCATAGTTTCAATGTTTCATAGTTTCATCAGGCTATTATATGATCTAATTTGGCACTGACAGTTTTTTGAAAATATGATTTCTAGCCCTCATGACCGAAGAGAAAGGGCAAATTTGGTGAACACACATATTACAAAATATCTGGAAAAATATATGGCCTTGGGCAGATTTCTTTGTCTTCTGCCATTCCAGTCCTAACCAAAATATGTTAGATACTGCGAATCTTGAAACTGGAACTTCTGATGTAAAATTAAGCACTGTTATGCATTGTTATAATATTGTTGTGCATATTACTTTATGCAATATTTACTTTGAGCAACAAATGTAGGTGTCCTTAGAACAGAGAACATGCATCTCTAGATAGTGATTTAAAACAAAATAAGATAGATGCAGCAGAATAATTTAATGATGGATAAAAGCAATTAAATGGGGCACAAATGAATCGAGGAATCTAAGGGATAAAGACCTAATTACCTGAATAGTGTTTTTCTTCCTGAACTGTGAAATGAGTGAGTGGAGCTAATGGATGTTAGCTTAGTTGAATAACTGCAGCATTTTTACAAGTGGCAGGCATGCTGAATCAGCATGATTGATTCATACAGTTCATGTAGAGATGCAGCCAACTGTTGCTAGTCCAGAGGGGCCCTTGTTGTTACGTTTTTTTGGTGCTCGTAGAATGGGACAGGACATGAAAGCTCTCTAAGCAATCCTCTGCTTGATGCAAGAAATCATAGTTATAGCATCCACAAGATGGGATTTCCCATCTTTGAACTGCATCCTGACTTAATCATGCATAGTTGTTGTTGTTGTTGTTGTTGTTGTTGTTATTATTATTATAACATTTCTATGCCGCCCCTTGCCGAAACCTCGGGGCGGCTTACAACACGGCTTACAACAGTTTAGACTCTGAAATCAGTGAGACAAGTTAAACACAATGAACTTAAGTCATGTTGGTTTCAGTGGGCCTACTGGAAGCATGACTTAAATTTGCAGCCATTTTTGCATTTTGTTGCATTTTGTACTGATCATGGCATAGTGTTTGGAGTAGCAAAGGCTGGCATGAGTGATATGGGCTGAGCAAGTGTCCATTATACTGGCCTATCTATTTCCCTCAGAAGTACAGTGATCACTGGAGATTCTGATAGGAGAGAGAGAGAGCAGTGTAATTTCTAAAGAGGAAAGTAATGATATACAGTTCTATGAAAGTTGCAAAATTTCAGAGTTCTATGAAAGTTTCCATTTCACCTCTTAGGAAACTTGATTTTATAAGTAAAGTAGAAATGTGCATATTCAAATACACCAACATATTTGGTTCAGTAAAAGATGTCATTTCAATATCTTTTTAAAATAAGGATGGGACATTATGTGGGACTGGTCTGGGTGTAGAAAACAACTGACAGAAGAAAGGAAGGAAAGAAGAACAAAGATTTGTCATTAATATTTTAGAAAATTTAACAGTTGCAATGCAATCCTATGCATGTTTACTCAGAAACATGTCTCATTGTGGCTGATTAGGTTTTAGTCCCAACCTAGGAAGTTCAGGACTGCAGCCATAGGCTACAACCTGCAGTTACATTTTTCAGAGTAAGTCCTTCGAATCCAACTGGGCTTCCTTCTGAGGATACAAGCTAGGGCTAAAAATAGTTAATGTCTATTTTTTTCTACCTCAGGTGTGGATCAGTCTATTTAGAACTAGATCCATTCTGCATGTATTTTATCATAAATTCCTTCAATTTCTGCACTACTGTGCTATTAAAATGCACACAGACTTGAAAAGGTACATGTGGTTTTGTACCTAATATTATCCCAAGTACACATTTTTGTATGAAACATTGCATAATATATGCATTCTTGTAAGCCATTTCCGAGCCAAAAACACCATTTGAAATTCAGATAAGTGCACAATGCAAAGAATAACTGTGTTTTGCCTGATAGGTCAGTCTGCTTAGAAGTGCAGGCCAAATAAAATCCTGCCCTATCCTCAGGTACGGCAGCCTCAGTCCATCTCCCAATTAAACTTTTTGCACTTTTGAACTAAGCAACTTGTGCAGTATTGTGTATAAAAAGAAATGGCTTTTTTTACCTGCGGTAGTGCTTGCACAACTGTGTCCAATAAAGCTCGCATCCCCGTTGCCATCTTCAGCAGTTTCAAAACTGTCATAAGAAAGAAGGCCAAGGGCTGATTCATTTCTAGGGATTTGCTATTCACAAAGGAGCAGCATGCCAAAGTAGTGATGCTTTTGCTGATTCATCTCCCAGCATCTCATCTTGTACTCTCCATTATTCAGTTCCTTTTACTTTGCAGCCACCAATCCTGGTACTGTCCATTGGACCTCTTTCTACTTTTCTCTTGCTTGACGTCTTCTACATCTCTTGTTCATTTCCACAAAACCATGCATGTTTAACCTTTCTCCCACTTTGACCACCTTTATCCCACTTTGAAAAATGCTATTTCCCAACAATCAAGATGCTGAGGATGTGCATAAGCCTGCTATTGGTTACCTGTGCTTACAGGAACTTTAGTTTCCCAGGTCTCCTGCAACGTTACTAAGGACTGAAATTATAGTACCAGTGACCTTGACATCCACAATGTTCCTGCAGCACCTATTAAAGGTTGAATCAGCAGCCCTCTTACAGCTGCTTCACTAAGGAAGTATTAGTGGGAAAAGATTCATTCTTATAGAAACCTACATTTGAGAAAGGTTTGGCTTGACTCTTTATTAGCATGACAGTTCCTACCTAGGGAGATTCATATTCTGAACACCCAAACTCTTAACTCTGGTGACATCTCTTGTAAGACCCAGGTAAATGCAAGGTTAATGCATCTGGCAAAACTCTATTCTGACTACTGCACCATTAGTTGGATGTGGAAAATTTGGAAACAAACAGTCCACATACTGTTAGAAATAGAATAACCATACATACTGAACAGTCACATTGGATAAATGTTGGACAAACTATATGTGTGTTTCTTGCATGCACACAAAAGATAGCCATTGACATAAGCATCAGAGTCATGTGGGCCCCCGGATTTGGTTTAGCATACAGGCCCCATGCTTCTTAATTCTCTCTGTCCCACACATTCTTCCCCAAACCAGAGCTATGCATCAGCCTGTGCTCTGTAGTGTCCTCTCTCACCTCGAGCAATGCGCAGCACTCTCATGATGCGGATGATTGTGGGGTTGATGGGAAGAGCTGCATTGATTTCAATCTCCTCAAGTGTGATGCCCATGACCGAGAGCAGAACAATGGCCAGGTCCAGCTGGTTCCACCTTGAAGAAATTGGGAACAAAAATAGAGCTTTTCCTGCCCCACTGAAAGAGGGAAACTAATGTTCTACATTATTATAAACAAACAACTGACAAAGGCCCTTCTAGACTTAGCATAGCTTATGATCTGGTTATTTGGAATTTTGAACTAATAAAAGTATTCCAATTTTTAAAATTGGAACAAACATACAAATCTGTATTCATTTTACTTCACTGGCATCCTTTATTCTGGTAAGTCAATTTGTCTTGATGAAGTTTTATCTTCTGCCAAATTTGATTTTCTGATTTTAATATATATACATGGAGATATACTGAGGCAGAGCACTGCTCCCTCTGGCCCAGGTTTATCTGCTTTGATTGGCAACAGCTCTCCCAGGTCTGCTCTCTCAGATTCCTTAACTGGAGATGACAAGGACTGAACCGGGGATCTTGTGGTATATTCTTGAGCTATGGGAACCGAGGAAGGAGCTAAGTGATGAAGAGAACACTGGAGCCAACCGCTTAATAAGGGAAAGAGATGAACAGCATAATGAAATGGTGGTGGAGTTCCACTGAGTGAGGAATTATGACTAACAATATATATGACTAACATTTATATCTCCTTTAGCTTCTAAGCATTACTTTGAAAACATTTTGGTGGCCACTGGCTTTTGGAGATTTTTCTAGCAAAATCAAGAGTTATGATTTTTTTTCTCATTCTCCCATGTGCAAGATTCTACAGGCTGACCAATTTCCAACACACTGTACAATTTATGCTACACCATGTACTTTGCTTTCTTATCTAACTACTCATTTCTGACAACACCAAACCACAGCTCTACATTGTCATCTGCAAAGGATATTAGGAACAAATCCCCTAGACTTTAATTGCTGCTTAGAGTACAGTAGAAGTCCAGACAGCTTCTGGCACTGCTATTCCAGATACAAATTGTGTCACCTCTGATCTTCCGCGCCCCACAGAATATGACTCACATTCCTTTCTGCTCACCTGTCTTTGAAGAAGCGTCTCAGCCCAAAGGCCACAAGCTTCAAAACTGCCTCCAGCACAAAGACCGTGGTGAACATGTAGTTGCAATACTTAAGGGCAGTCTCAAGGGACTATGAATAGAAGGAAGAATGTACATTAATAATACCTAATCTCCTGGATTCTATGGCCTGCATTGAGGAGAAACCCATTTTATTAGGTTGTAGCAGATGACAAAAGCACACAGTTATGACTGGCCTGCCCTTGTGTCAATAACAAAGTCTCCTCCCCCAGTGTCAGAGCCGGGTTGTACAGTGCTGATTGGCTGCTACTTGTGAAATCTATCTCCTTCTTCCACTTTAACATACAAAGCAAGATACTGAAAACATGCTTAATCAAATAGCAATGCAGAGCACCTACAAAACACAACATAGTGGACTTCTCAGTTGGTGGATGGGAGGAGGGGATGTGGAACACACAGTCAGCATTTTATTTGGACCTTGTGTGCCTGTGAGGCATGAACAGGCTTGGCTCAAAGTTGTGGTTTCTGAGCAGATTGCTCTTGGCACTCCACCTAGCTTACTCACAGAGGGGTAGTCTGGCCATCAATCATAGCAGCGATCAATTACCTTAGCAGTGGCATATTGTTTCCTCTGGTTCCCTTCAGACTATTTGTGGAGTGGCTTTATCTTGAATGAGCAATTCAGACTCCAGACTCCTAAGCTGTGTAAATGACCTGTTTCTGGTGGAAATGAATACTACTAGAATTGGTTTGTTGGTATGGATCAACACAGTGACTTGCCCTTGTTGTTTGGTCTCTCTTTGGGGATGTGACTATGGGGAGAGGATGGGGACCAGGACAGCTTGCACTTTAAAATTTACCATAACACCCCTGTGTCTCAGTTTGCATGTATATACTTGGATTGTAATGACTGTTGGTTCAATTCTATATGTGTGTTCTCAGAGGTAAATGCCACAGAGTTCAATAGGGCTTACTCCCAGTAAAATGGGTAGATAATTGCAGCCATAACTGAATAAACTGCTAAATGTGAAAGAGGAGGAAGGTGTGGTTATGACTGATATAGAAGGAAATGTGAAATATTTGTTCAAGTAACAACTGCTACCTCTAAAGCAGATTGTGGTCAGAACTGCTACCACAGTGTTTCAGGTATATTGTGGTAAGAAGTGTAGAACAAAACACAGTAAAACCCTGAAGTTAAGTGTAAAGCAGGACGTGATATGTATTAGATGTAGATAGCATATGTTACCACAGCAAAGTATGCAAAAATTAATCAATAAAGATTCATCCCATCCAGCTGGAAATGAGTCATATTGCATTTCATGCTATGATGCTAGCAGGTTATTTTTCTGTATTCGGTGTTCATCTGACTAAGCACGGATGGGTGCATGGTATGACAAGGGGCAAAGCAGCACTTCCTTGTAACTCTTGACATCAGCATTGTAGGACAGTTTTCACAATATTAACCCATCAGTAAGCAAATCAGGGTTCTCTAACGGGGACACTTTAGATGAAGAAGCTGAGAACTAGCTTTTCTGCTGCTTTTTGTGGACTTTTGCAAAGTCAGTGAACTTGTATGGAAGTCCTACGATTTATCAAAAAAGCTTATGCTTACCCTACTTGCAGTTCTGAGCACCTTAAAGTCTCATATGGGCCTTTTGTTAAGTGTGAATCATCCATTTCTTAACAGGTGACAAAAGTAACAGACCATTTCCCATGGCTGAAGATTTGGTGGATACAATAAGGAGTAGGGAGAGAGATGGAATAATGAGGCTTGCAGCATAAATCAAAGAAGACTGAGGTACAGGAGTATTGCATGCTCAGGTTACTTCCCAGGCTTTAATGTAAGGTATAAGCCATGGAAATGCAGAGCACATTTGTTTTTGAAGTCCAATGGAAAGAGAAGGCATGTTAATGACTGCAGTCCCAGACACTTCAGATCTTAGAAGTTAGTCCTTGTGTGAAATGCCCCTTGAACATCACAGTTTCTAGAAACAGGGGTTTCCTGACATAAAAAATGAATGGAATATTCTCTGGCAGAGAAAGAAAGCCCTTGCCTTTCACATTATATATGTTTTCTCCCGTCAAGCCAAAAATTTAGTTCCTGAACTAATTCATTGATATGTGATTTGGTAACAGCATCCTTCTGGTTTAGGATGAATTCTGTCTATAAGATCTCTTGTGGCATTTTCCCCTACTGGGTGATGAACTCCCTGGAGCTGAGCTAAATGGGGCATAAGGAACTGCAAATATGTTGGAACAAGGCATATAAATCTCATCCATTTTGTGGCAAGCTGCAAACTGCTACAGCACTTCAAGCATAGTGCTAGTGTTCATATAGAGGGAGCTTTTAAAAGATGGGGATGGGCTTGTCAACTAGGTTTACCTGATCTGCTATAGTCCCCCTGCTGGTCACCTTGATCTGGGAAAAAATGTACAGCAATATTCATCAACTTTTAAAAGATACAGAAAAAATGTAGCCCAGGTGGATCTGTTATTGTTATGTACCATCAAATCATCTGTGACTTCTGGCGATCCTATGAATGGTGCCCTCGAAATTGTCTTGTCTCTGACAGGCCTGCTCAGCTCCTGTAAACTCAAGGCTGTGGCTTCCTTGATGGAATCCATCCATCCATCCATCCATCCATCCATCATATGGGACCTTCCTAGTCTAGTCTAGTCTAGTGAGTTTACGTAGTATATACATTAATGAAAACAAGATAGGAAGTATGAAGGAATGGCAAAGGAACAGATACCCTTCACTTGTTATTACACCTCCTCAGCAACTGGACTGTTTTGGTTCCCATCTCATTTTCTAATGCCTTTCTAAAGCTTTGCTTGTAGTGTTTGTTTTTTTCTTTTTCAAGAGGGCATTCTTTTGATGAAAAGGGAGGAAAGAAAGCAAGGGAGGTGAAAGAAGGCACAGAGAAATGATTTAGTTCCTTGAATTGACTCACCACTGGTTGGTTGTAGTGCTCCAGGGACATGGTGACAACGTTGAGGCAAATGATGAAGGTGATGAAGATGTCCAAGTAGTGGCTAGTGCAGACTGAATGGATAAGGAGGCGGATGGGGCAGTAGGTGGCATAATAGGGCAAGCGCTGCGCTTCTTCAACGGTGGAGCAGGAACAGTCCAGGAAGGCCAGAAAGGAGGGCAAAGAGGAAGGGAAGGATTGAGAGGGAGGGAGTGAGGGATAAAGTGGAGAGGTGCAGAAACAAAGGGAAATAATTGAAACAAAAGAAATGGACCAAGCCAATATGAAAAGAAAACAGAAAAGAAAATAGAAGAAGATATAATAAAATACAGAAGGAAGGGAAGGGTAGAGAGATGAATAGAGGGAAGAAGGGGAAAGGATAGGAAGGTGTGAGAGTGACAGAAAGAATCTGTTAATCCTGTGTTTGTGGAAAATATACTGAAATAGCATTTCATGCATCCCAAATTAAGTTAACAAATGATAAGGGAAAGCAAGCAACTCTAGGATAGGAAAAGCTGAAGGAAGGAAAAGGTAAGGGACTCCCATAGTAACCGGAAGGAAGTGCATTCAAGCAAGGATTTAAGGAGACGATGAGAGAGACTGTGAGGGAAAGATGGGCTAATGAAGGCCACAGGTGCTTTTTTGGCATTTCTTTCATTATGTTACCAAACACACACACACACACCAGGGGTATACCAAAACAAGGATTCAGAGATGGCAATTGAGGCAATTACGGGGGCAATAAAGCTTGATAAAGGACTCAGATATGGTCTTCTTCCTTTGGTGGACCAGATTAGAAAGTGGCTAATGACATAGGGGCCATTTACCCAAGGGACTGCTTATGCTAAAGCTCTTTAAAAGTATGGAAACAAAATGGCATCCTTGTAGAAAACATCCAGCACATTCCTTGGGCTTTGGGACAAGGAAGAAGCAAACTGAATGACTCATTTGGGAGCATCTCAGTGACATTCCACAGAGAGGCAAGTAGTTCTGAAAGTTTTAATTACCACTTATGCCTTGTATTGGTCAGAATTTTTTTTAAAAGAGGAGAGTTCTCCAAGAACACCTCAGTCTATGAGCCAGCAAAACACTTAAGCTGGTCCTTACTTCTGCGTTTCTTCTCCAGACGCCTCAGGCGCTTCTCTTCCCGCCGCCGGGCCTCCTCTGCTTCTTGGTGTTGCCGACATTTGTGGAAGTTCTCCACCACCACCCCTACAAACATGTTGAGTACGAAGAAGCTGACGATGAGCAAGAAAGAAATGAAGTAAAGGAGCATCCAAGGGTTGTTGTTGGTCACTGGCTGGAAGTTTTATACAAAAGCAAAACACACACACACACACAAAAGAAAAAAAACACAAAAGGGCTGTGGTTAGCATGTTGGATGTCATTACACAGCTTATGATGAGGGAAGGACCAAGATAATGGTTTTGTTGATGGAAATCAGAGATTCTGGGAAATAAAGAGTATAGCTAAATTGGTGATTATTATGACAAATTAAGACCAGTGAAATTTCACAGAAATCCGAGGGAGGACCCATCCTCTCACCTCACAAGCAGGAGAAAACCATGTTGGTGCTTTGGTGGGCAGAGTCTTTATAGGTGGTTCTTCTTGCCTACATTCTGTTCAGCTGTTGAGAAGGCTTGGCTTATATATACAAACAGGAGAACTGTTAACAGCAATGCGCTTCAGTGCCTAAGGACAAAAACAGCTCTTCCAGTAATGCAGGAGCTTTTCAAGAGGAGACCGCTGGAGCAGGAGGCTAGGGGTGCCTAAGCCTTGCTGAGGTGCCTGGAGACATTGCCAAAAGGGGCAGTACTGTTTAGCCAATTTGCCTGCATCTGACTGAGAGGCTTCCTTTCAAGTAGGAGCAGGGAAGGAGGGGGTTGGGCTAGGCAGGGGCATGCAGGGAATGGAGCATCCATGTTTCGCCTGGGTCCTCCCTTCACCAATCCTGCTTGAAAGTCTACTTCTTGAGAAGGAGCAGGGAAGTGGGGCTGGACTAGGCAGGGATGCTCCTATCTCAGCCACACCAGAGAGGAAGTCTCTCTGACATGGGCAGAGGGGGAGCCAGCAACTGGATAGCACTGCTCCAAACAGGGGCAGCCTTACCCAGCAGATCAGCCTGGCTCCGGCCCCAAGGAAGATCTCTGAAGCAGGAGACAAATGGAACTAGGATATTTTTGACATTTGTGTCAGACTGGGGCAGCTGTCACCCATGCTGTCTGGCCAACTGCTTGGCATGAATGGCAGTGGCCATTCTTGCCAGGCAGCCATCTTGTTCTGCAGATTTCCTCATGTTGGCTTGTGTAGTATGACTTCACAGTCATGGTAGAGAGAAATCTTAGAATAGGTTGTTGTTTCTTATCATGGTTATCCACCATGATATAACAACAGTAAATAATCACAGCTGGGTTCAGGCAACAAGATAAACATTGATAACAGTCAATGGCTGTTTGTTGCATCTTACAAACCTATTTATGTATATTTTCCCTTCTTCTCCTTTACCACCAGGACCCAACTAGTCACTGTCCCACACACTAATTTATGTGAAGTGCTTAGGGAAAATTGAAATAATCTGATCATCTATTTTTACTTTCCTAAAGATTTAATGGGTCTCAGAGTCACTGGGTTCTTTCAAATGATTATCTTACACAAATTCTAAAATGGTATCATTCTTCTTTCCCTTGTAAATCTGTGAACTCAACTTTTGAAAAACTGCAGAATCCATCTCCTTAACCTCCTGTCCCATCAGGATGTGAGACCATGTGCCTATATTTGTGAGGGTTTGTGATGATGACAGTGGTAGCTGGAATACAGACATTATAACTACAGATTCAGGGAAGTGAATGATAATTATAATAATACTTTAAAGAACTCATTTGTATACACAAAAATTAATATTCAACCATCATTATTAAGCATCAGAACCATAGTACAGGCATTATAGCATCTTAGAAGGAAATGATTTTAGACAATGTGTGGGGTGAATGTGTCACCCATGATGCCAAAGTACACTTCCATGTGGTAGATAAAGGTAGAGAAGCCTAAGGAAATAAATAAATAAAAACATAAAATAAATAAATAAATAAAAAACAGTAGTAACAACAAACACCCTCAAAATTTTCTCTTTGCAATATTTGCAAATTAGAACAAAATTTGCAGTGATGGCATGGAATATTGTTCTGTGTACTCAAAATAGGGAAACATCTTGATGAAGAGTAAGGGGCAGAAATCATACTCTTGTCTGGAGCTTTTTAAGTAGCATCAGGTGAGATATGTACCCCAATGGCTGAGAGAGACCGCAAACCCCAGAAAGAATGATGTTGAAACAACAACAGCACTGGCTAATGAAATTGTGGGGGTGTCTGCAGAGTGAAGGAGTAAAAAGAACTATATGAGCATTCCTGTAATGAAAAGGGGAACTCTAAAGAATTAGAAAAAAACCAAAAATAGAATGTATTAAAAGCTCACAAAATGGCACAGGCAGTAGGGAAAACGGCATCATTGATAGCTACTGATCTCACAGGTACTGTTCAGTGAAGTCTCATGACATTTCTTCAACCACAGTCCACATAGCAATCCCAATTAGAGGTGGCGTGAACAGTTCGACAGAGGCACTTGCAAAAGCTCAATCCTTGTCATGCCCACCCTTGGGATGCTTGTGCAGTGTGGCGCGGTAGTTAGAGCACAAGACTGGGGAACTGGGAAATCCAAGTTCTAGTCCCCACTTGGCCATGAAGCTCACAGGGTGACTTTGGGCCAGTCACTTACAAGGCTCTTATTGATAGAAATAGAGTGGAGGATAACTTCAAGAGAAAAACAGCAGGGTATAAATGCAGTGTAGGAAAAAACAAATATTGACAAGTGAACGTGTTACACAGGCTTTAGTGGCAGCAGAATTATTCTTTCCCTGGTACAACATACTGTAGATTACTTGATGGAGGAAGAACTCCACAGCCAAAGCAATGCCTAAACATCCCCACCATCACAACAGCATGGAAGTTTGCACAGCAGAAGAGGATAGTCTGAAAAGTCCTCAGACTGGGAAGTCTGAAGTGCACGCAGAAATCCCTCTTGAGCCAAATATCTGTTTTTCTGAAATCATGGTATGCTCATGCATCCCATTGCTCATACATTCCCTTCTGTGTGGATAAACCATTGACTTGTTCCAGTGTTTTAGATGCCCATAGAACTCTTGTGAGGTTGGTCTAGGAATGGTTCTTGCTGAAGGACTGACAAGACCAGGTGAAACTGCTCTGCTTTGCTGAGAGAACAAGTAAAGATCTCAGTGTAAATTCAATATATCATCAGTGCTGTTTGGTCTCATGCAACTGCCATATGCAAGAAGGGAGTGATCTTGCATTATTAAAGTGAACAGGAAAAGCAGCAGATTTTAGCTGCCAGCAGTGAAAAGCCCTGCTTATGGGGGAAATTGAAGCAAGTGATTATAAATCAGAAGAGCATGTAATTTTGCCCCAAAGGACACAAACTGTGATTGCAAAACCATTATGAGATAAATAAGAAAACAGGAATAGCATCCTTTTTTTTTTTTTTTTGCAAAGGAATCACATGGGAACATTATACACATTTGTCCATCCAAGTTGCCTGACATTTATGATCTGTATTTAAATAGACGATAGTTGGACCACAGCAAATGAGAGCGATGATGACAAAATATGGGAAGGGAGATGGGAAGGCCCAGCAGAAAAGTATTTTAGCATCTGTAACTGCTGTTAAGTCACCAGTTTTGTATGCTCAAATTGCTTGCTAATGGTCAGTGAAGATCAGTAGTTGTTTCCTTAGTGGGGCTTAATGGCTGAACATTGCTTCTTCAGGTGGCTGCTATCAGTTTAAATCTGTGAGCCAGTCACTGTAGGTTTAAAGTTCAAATTGCATGGGATGCTGAAAGTGTCACTGGGAGCTGGTGTAATCTTAGTTCTAAATTTGAAATAGCAGGTTTATGTGCAATGTTTCAAAAACAATACATACAACTATTTCTTTAGTATTGCACAGGGGACTCTTGTTTATCCTTTAAATAATCCAGCATTCTGGCTTCATATGCCACACCATATGACGGTACTGATGGTGGTGGTATGAAAAACTGGAAAAGGAAATTTCTAAACTTACAGGTTACTGCTGGGTGTGAACCAGGTTGCAATTTGGTCAGCTTGCTGTGCCTGGCACAAGGCAAATAGGGGGTGGGGGAGGAAGAAAGCTCTTGCACTGTCCAACTGGCTAGAAGATGTAGCCATCTTAGGTCCCAAGCTGATGCTGCATGCTTCTGGATGAAGCTGCTCCTTCTATTGTTAACAACGACAAGTTTCCATGGTACCACATAGAATAAAATAGGCATGCTAGTTGGGTGTCAGGTTTGCTTTCATTTAAAGTATAAAACAGGTGGGAAATCAGAGCAAGAGAGAGGGGGGAACAAGGGTAGCATGGAAAAATGTGGTCAAATGACTTTATAGGAATGTAGGAAACTTGTGGCCAACTGGGTGTATAGATGTAGAATGCCCATGAGCCTTAGCCAGCATAGCCCTTGGTATGGGAAGATGGAATTGTTGGCCAGAGTACCTGAAAGGTGACATATGTATTTATATGTTTCATATAAATGTATTTCATACGTTTCATATGTATTTATATGTAGCTACATTTTGTAAACAACATGAAGAACAAAAGACAAAGGCATGCAAAGGCCAGGTTTTGAGGAGGAATCTGAATGAAGAGAAACAGCTCAATTGTACTGGGCAGCAAGAAACAGATCAGCATTGTCTGTCTGGCCCACTCTCTGTCATAAACAAACAGAAATTGGGGAAAATATTCTTCAGCCATGTATCATTCAGAAGTAAACCATGGGAAATTGCAGTAGTCTTCCTGAAACTTCGCTCAGCAAAACAAATGAAGGCTATCAAAGATGGCTTACCTAACTTACTAAATTATCCAGTTCAAAACAACATGACTAATCAGGTTGCAAAATGCTTTCTATACCTGTTGGTCAACAGCCACAGCATCCAGTCCATTGTACATAATGTTGACCCAGCCATCTTTGGAAGCCAGCACAAAAAGTGACATCAAAGCCTGCAATACACAGAAGTGTGTGAGATTGTTTTAGCTGCATTCTTGTCTTGCTCAAATGTTTGATGGACAAATGGATATAAAAACAGAGAAGGCATTTCCTTCCTGCTCCATCACTCTATACTGACTAGTAAGGGTTGATGGGAGAAGAAAAAGGATTGCCCGTGACAGAGGCTAAGAAAGAAAAATTTTCTGAGAAATTCTTCCCTAGAGAAGTACCTGCTCAGCCCAGTCAGTTGGCTGAATGACAAAGCAACCTGTTATGATGCACACCTTGGTTTCCTAAACTGTCACAAACTTATCAGATCCAAAATAATGCACAAGAGAGAAACTGAAAAACATTAGAAGGACCCAACATGCACCTGATTTATTTATTTATTTTAAAACTACCTCTGAACATTTTACTGCAACTTTTGCTCTCCCATGCCCTCTTCATGGCAAAAGCTGATCCTTTGGAGAGCTTTAGAAGGCCCTCACCATTAACTGGGTGGAAAAGAATATGGTGGTAAGTAGTATCTATTTAGAAAACATACAAGAATAGATGGTGAATTTCATCTGGATTAAAGGGAAGGCAGACAGGGAAATAACTTAGAAATATTTAATTAGAATTGGAAAGCATCCCATATAAGCACTAAGTGAGTTTACTTGCTTAAATACCTGCCAAAGACTGAGGCTTAGCAGTTTCCTTGGACAACCATTTTAATTTCCAAACAGTTCTTTTGTAAAAAGGTGACTCCTAATATCAGTCTATATATGCAACCTCTGTTGTGGGAGTGTGTAACCTGTGGGCCGTGACCCTCCAGTTAGTTTGGCTTACAGCTTCCTTGAGCCCTCATCAGCAGCACCATTCATGAAAGCTGATGAAAGGTATATGCCAAAACATCTAGAGGGCCTCAAGCTGCCCATCTCAGCTTTACTGCCACTTCAGTGTGCTGCTTCTGGTCCTTCTTTCTTTTTCCTGGTAAACTGTTCGTTCCTCCTTTGCTTGTCTTATTTCTTTACATGTATAAAGTGCCATCAGAACTCCTAAGGTAAAGTACAACATAAAATTATAAGAGCAATAGTTCCATTCATACAACTGTTGGAGTAGAGTGGGCATGTGGCCCTGCAAAGAGGATCATGGTGGCAGCCCTGGTCTGAAACCTTTATGCACTTACTACTTCAATGTAAAGCCTGCAGACTCTGGGTTATAGCTAGATTCTGTTCGGGCACTCTGCATGTTCAGTGACCCTTCTTTCATTGCATGAGCAGGATTAGAATGATAGACTTTTAGGGTGTTATCCTATGCATGTTCAGGCAGGAAAAAGTCTAGCTTGGAGTTGCAGGACAGGCTGGGAGCTGGAAGACTTTTCCTGTCTAAACATGCATAGGATTGCATTCTGATAAGATATTTGAAATACCTATTTATTTCAAGTTAACTCAACCCTACACATGCCTCGTTATTTTTTTCTGCATAGATCATGTGACTTTGAGTGCTTAAGGAGCATCTGATCCAAAGGCAAGTGCTTTACATGTTGTTAATGTACACACGTTCAACACATATATGCTTAACAGGTATTTCACTGTTTTAATTACTGCTTTAATAGCTGGCTTTTAGTATGATTGATTTTGTATTTGTTCTATTGTATTGGTTTTATTTTTGCTTTGACTGTAGGGCTGTATACAGATCAACACACATCTCTTCTACAGAAACTAGTGAGATTTGGAAGTGCTGAACATGACCTGGACTGTGCCCTTTGTCATTTTGATGGCTTTCCTCTGTAAAAGGCCTTTATCTTATGATGGGGTAATCAAAGCTGGATACTCCACTGAAGATAAAGCCTGACCTCAGTGGTACCATTACCATTGTGCAGATCTTCTCTGACACACAATGCAGCTGTTGATGCCTGTGTCTGAAGGGCCATCCCTTCCTTTAGGACTGAGGGTGTGAAAGAGTTGTGTGATCCAAAGAGAAAGCTAAGTACAGAGAAGGCCAAGGCAAGGCCAAGGCAACCTGCCTCCCTCCCCCTCTCTCTGTGTACTGTTTCTACATTTACCTGGCCTAGATTGTCGAAGTTGTATTTGTGATGTACCCATTTGTAACTGGCAGCCATGCAGTCAGATCTGTTGGTGATGTTTCGGATGTCCCCACCCAGGCAATGGTAGAACTTCCCTTTGAATAACTGCAAGAAGAAACATGTCTGTCAGAGACCTTGCCAGGAAGAACTGATGTGAGGACAGAGTTCCTGATGAGCCAAGCTATGGAACAAGCAGCTTTTGCCATTGGGTCACTGATTCCTACCTGGCCTCAAGCCTATAGTCATTTACCAGCAGGCATGAATTTGGAAATAAGTAAATGGGTAAGGGGACTACTGGAAACAGTTGTAACCAGTTCCATTCCTCAGGGCAGTCCAGAGTTATTGTGTTCCCAAACAGTTAGGAGGTATACTGAAGGTAGAAATATCACTTCTAAGTGTTAAGCACTAGGAAAATAACTCCTATTACTCATATATTTTAAAACTATATATGCTCAGCAGGGATTAAATCAATCAATCTTTGGTCTCTGTTCTCTCTTTCAAACAACCATGGCTAGACTGGGCATTCGCAGAGGCTCTGGGTGACTTCACAGGGTGGCAGGAAGTAAGTTTGCTCTGCAGCACTTCCTGTACGTTGTGAAGCTGCCAACTCTGGAAAAAGCTATATGCAGATTAAGTGTAGCACCTTCTTTACAATTATAGAAGTGCCACCTCCTCCTGCAACAGGAGCTTAAAATAGAGGATGTCACTTTTCTTCCTCTTCTTCAAACAGACGTGGGTGGATTCAGTGCTTGGGCTGCAGGGTGGGGGAGACAAGAATGAACGAGAATTGCTTTTTTAAAAAAGCAGGCAAGGGATCTGTTGCCACAGGTATCTCAGTTCTGTTCAATAACCAGCATGTCACTTCAGTATGATTTAGTTGAATGTTTGAGTATCCCTGAACACTAACTTTGAGATCCCACCCTCCTTCCTTCTCACCCTTGGCAACTGGATCTAGGAGTGCCTGTGAAGCAGTGAAAGCAGTTTTCCTATCTCTTGCTTCCTCTGTGTATATATCCACAGACAAGGGTCAGAAAGCTACCTCAGAAATAGGGTGTCCTATTATGAATCCCTCCCTGCATAAAAAAGAAAAAGAAATTCATCACCAAAAAAAAGAGAGGGCAAAATAGGAAAGCAATAGGATCTTCTGCTAATTTACAAGTATAAATGCAAAGTTAGAAATACTTAATGTCATTTAAATAGAAATACTATCCATCTGCCCGCCTGCCAGTTCAGCCTGTCTTGGTGCTAAATGTTGATGGGCAACCGTTCTTAGATTCTTTACATTTAAACTAGTTTTGGACAGAGCCTTCAAATAGAGGGTGCCTTCAAAGAGATGTTGGTTCTTGGGTAGTCCTTTGAAGAGAGCACAGTCTTCTGTAAAAGAGGATTTGTGGCTATGCTACAAATAACGACAATTCTAGGTAGATGCCATGGATAGTGCTTTGCAGGGATAACTCCATTGCTACAACAGAAGACAAAAAGCCTGTTGCACCTAGATTTATAATATAAATGGGGGAAAGGGATTAGCTTTAAGCAAGGGGAGGCAGAGTTTTAACTGCTGTTGCCTTAGACTAAAATGTGATGAGCTGATTTATTTATTTAAGTGTTCTGTATATTGTCTGTCTACTTCTGTCTTGGGATGGTCTTACAATAAGAGCAGGATAAAAATGAAGCATAGCATCCAGTAATAAAATCATACATTAAAAATCTAATCAATTTTTAAAATAATGGGTAAATAAAAAGGTTTTAGCCTGGTGCCAAAAAGAATACAAGTCTGTAATAGCAACAATACCTGCACCCCAAGGATGCCAAAGATGATGAAGAAGGCGCAGCAAATGAGGACGATGTTCCCGATAGGCTTGAGTGATGAAATGAGTGTCTCGACCACAAGCTTCAGGCCTGGGGCACGACTGATGACCCTGAAAAAGGATTACTGTGAGAGGCAACAGTACAGGAGCCCTGATGCTTTTCTCTCTGTACCGAGAACTGTTTGGACAATAATCCCAAGACAGGTGCTGCTCAAAGCTACTGCAACAGGCAGACACAGAACACATTTTGGAAAATGGTTGCTAATTACTGTCAGGCATTTCTTCACATTTGAACATTGGTGACTGCTAAAGCTATGAAATTAGTGAAGCCTAGATTCTTGCATAAAAACCTCCTTCAGCAATTGGATACATCTGCAAAGTCATGTAAAGTATGCAGTTAAAAAATCTCTGAAGCAACCAAGAGCAGTGCCTTGATACAATTTGGAAGAATTGCTGACTGTGTATGAACTTACTCAGCAAGTGAAGCAAACAAGGAATCCTAGGTGTAAGAATGACATTCTGGCACAATGGTTCCCATTTATTGTCTATGCTGAAGTTCCTAAAACTTTTGATCCAGTTCCACAAGTACATGCACACACACAAAATTGCATACAGTAGCATACAAAATGGCACACACTTGCACGTGTTCCTTTTATATGTTGTATAAATTATTATTTTACTCTTTCCCTAGTACTGTGGTCAAGCTGTTTTACTGTCGATTAAAACAGGATTCTTGTTGCCTTCCATTTCAAAATAACATTTCATGGGAAAACAGAGCAAATTCTTTACATTGATATCAAATCTGTGTGGAAAATTACATTTGTTCTGTTTTCTATGCTCCTATCAGGTGAACACATTTTTGTCTTTTTTGCCACATGTGCACAAGAAGTGCTGGTTGGTTGCAGGTTCTTTAAGCTTGTACAGTTGGCAAATGGAAATAACACATACTATTTATTTAATGGATTTCTGAATCATCCCTCCATTCAATGAGTACTTGAGATGATTTACAAAAAAAATCAAAAGATTAAAATACAAAAGTTCCAAACAGAAGAAAACTAAAACCACATTAAATAAAGCATATGCATTACTGTAATACAGGGGAACTTTCTGAAATCAGAGAGAAACATTGATCATCCTTATTAGAAACATGATGGTATTTTTCCTGCATTTTTAAGCTACTATAAATACTTTTAACGTTTCTGTTTTATGTTATATTGTATTTTATTGTTTTGTTTTATGCATTCTTGTAAACCACCCAGAGAGCTTTGGCTACAGGGTGGTAAAGAAATGGAATAAATCATCATCATCATTGAGCGGCTCAGCAGAATGGTATTGCTTCTACCAGCTGTCTCATAGAGCAGGGTTGAACCCATTTCAGCCTGAAGAGTGTGTTCTGCTTTGGAGAAGTTCTCTGGAGGGAAGCTCTTACTGCCAGTAACTAAACCTTGGACAAAAATGTGGGGGAAAAAACACAGACATGCCAGGATATCACCAAGCATTGGCAGTCGGGGCCTATGGGGCAGCACCAGGGAAGGGGGTCAGGTCTACTGTGGAAAAACGCAGACAAGGGGGTGCTAAGGACTGAGGACTATGCATGCCCTTTGTCTCGGTAGGAGCCAGCCTGGCTCACGTTATGTCTCTCAGTGTGTGGTATCTCACATTTTTGCATCTTTAAAATGAAATAAAATACCAACTGCAGTAACAAGTCCAAAATATAGTGTTTCTGGCTTTTCATAGGCATAAGGTGAGTGGTATTTTTAAAATTATAAATGTTTTTCAATTAACTGGTAGGTATATGCATCAATAATATAAGTGCAGACAAGTATGTGCGTGTGCATGCACACGCGCGCGCACACACACACACACACAGAGCGAGCGAGAAGCAGTCCAGTATGGTCAACATTATTAAGAGTTAAGGTTTGCGGGAGGGATTGGAGATATTTGTGGTTTTCCCACTTTTGCAGGGGTCCTGTACCCCTAACCCCCATGAATGTGGAGGGCCAATTGTATATATATATATATACACACATATGTGAGATAGGGGCAGGTTCAGTTCAGGGTTTTTTTTTTTTTTCATAAAAACTTACTCAGATTCACAAATGTATATATAAATAAATGGAAAACCTTTATTTTAATAACATGAGAGAAGCCAAAACTGACCGATTTGTCCATTCAGACCTGGGGCTTTGCTTTAAGTGCTTAACTTTTAAAAGTCTAGGTTGAAATTTCCATTTTTCAACCATGTTGGTTTTGAGTTAGGCTAGCCACTTCTTTTACTGACAGGTCCCTCACCTATACAGGCTGATACAGTCTGTTCTTCTTCATGCTGGAAATAGCTGTACTTACTGAATTTGGCTGTATAGATGGGTGAAAATGTCATTTCAGTTTGATTTTGATAAAAGTTGATCAAAATTTTAATTTTCTAAATAGTGTGAATGTGGGAGAGAATGAAATGCACAGATTCGTCTATTTGTAGTGTGGGTACATCCAGTAATTCCATAGTATCTCCTGTTTCTGCATTATTTCCCCTTTTTCCATGGGCTTGTTCTCCAAACAACTTTTTAAAATACTGGCAAATCTGCTTCACTCCAGACTGCTCACAAGCTGGTTTGTCTGCCTTTTAACCTAGCCATTTGGTTTTCTTTTTCCCTCCTTTCTTGTTCTTTTCCGTTTCATTGCACCCAGTCATGAAAGAATTCATGCCTGCCCCAGGCTCATGTTGGTGATTGATCTTGTTATTGTCCTGACCAAGTGTTTTATTTTGGCAAAACATCTGGGAGTACACACAAGCTATTTCTGAGTGTTGCAGAAGAAGAGGAGGAAGGCTTGCCTCTCGGATCTCACCTGAGAGGACGTAATGTGCGCAGAAGTCGGAGGACTCGTAGCACCCCCAGAATTTTGGCTCCCCCTGCAGATGCTACTGAAACCACAATGTCAATGATGGAGACGAACACCAAGAAGCCATCCAGGATATTCCAGCTACTACGGAGATAGGCCTGCTCCCCAAAATACAAGCCAAGTGAGACTACCTAGAGGAGATGAGAGAATGGATGAGCATGAAGAAGAAGACAATCCAACAACAGAACTATCCTACACTCCTAGGGCAGCATAATGGGCTACTCCAGGGTTGTGCTCAGCTAAGGAATGCTGGAAACCACCAGGCAAGGACGAAATGGAAAATAAATTGACCTGCCATTCAAGTATTTACCTCTTTTCACATCAGAAATTCTGTGGAAGGAAAGAGGAAACTGGAAGCTCTGAATTCACCTCATCTAGCAAACATCATTTAGAAAAGCTGCTACCAGCCACCAAGGTCCTAATGATCTTCCTGCTCCCTTTCATGCTATATATTCCTTCATCATCACATAGATACTTGGAAATGTAGGACTACAGAGATTTAGAAATGAAAGGGCTTTAATTTTCAGAACTCCTACTCATGCCAGCCTATGAGAAGAAACTTTAGAAACAAAACATCAAGAAGTAAGGTTAAGCTGGATATTTCCCCATTTTTATTTTTGAACTGAAATGATTGGGTTTAGTTTTGTTTGCTGGGGATGGAATAAATATTTCTTTGGATGAAAAAATATCCCTGAATCATGCACCTTTTCACCTCTCCCTTGCATTATTTGTTGTTGCTTGAGTTCCATCCCCCCCCCATTGGGCTTCTTTGTCCTTCCTAAAGCGATTATGCCAGTCATGCAGTTAATGTGATGATGTCACAGTGCTCCATAGCTAATCTGATCTGGCTATGTGCTGTTGTCCCTGAAGCCAAGAAAAAAAAAGTCTATTTAAGGTGAAGGCAATGCTCTCTGAATAGAGAAGGAGTTTTCACAATCTCAGAACATTCACCAAAAGAGAAGTATCCTTCAGTAAAAATGTTTGTGAAAATGGCATCTCTTTTCAGTTCAACCATACCAAGAAGGGACAGCATATAGCTGCCCCCCAGCAGACTGAAAGCATGGAAGGGATTAGTTGGGATGGTTTGATACCTGCTAGTGGACGACTTACCTTCAGTGTCATCTCAGCAACAAAGATTGCTGTGAAGATGTAATTGGATACCGTGAGGAAGATTCTTTCCTGGAACAATCAAAGGCAGCCTCAAAATCTATCTAACAAGTGTCATGCATTTCAAATTAGTGCTATAAGCTTGGCCGATGCTATCTAATTTCTTGTTAAGAACTGAGTGGCACTGAATAACTGGGCTATTTGAAGGGCAGTTGCCCAAAGTTTCACCCAATCCAACACCTCAAATAAGTTATAATTTGCTGTCTATTCTTATGGGCCAATCCTATTAGATGTTTATGAGGCAGACAGACAAAATTGCATGAAAACGAATAAGTGACTGAAGGTTTCTTCTCATGTACATTCGCAAGTATCTTTTGTATCTGCAAGATACTTGTATAAACACAATTCTCCTGTAGACTAAAATTGCAAACCATTAAACCACTGGGTAGATAGTATAGAAACCATAAATACCCAGTGGTCACAATAAAGTTAAGGATGAATCCTAAGTCAAGGTACACTGTTCACAGGAACCCAGATGTCAGTAAGATGTTGATATCCAGGTGGCCAGCAGTGGATGCCAGAAACCAAGGACTGAACCTGGGACTTTCTGTAAGGTTATTTCCTACTTTCAGTTGCATGGATTACCAGTCCATAAGAAAGAAACATCACTTCCTTCAATCCGCCCACTAACTGGAATAATTGGCAGCTATTCTAGTAAGTATGTATTACTTGTGTTTTGAGACGGAAGTGTTTTCTTCATATAAATTAGATATGCCACCAAGGATTATGTTTCTATGTGTCAAAGATATTGTACAAATATAGACTATCTTATTCATTCAAATTAATCTGAAACAAATGTTCTTGCAATTACTAATGGAGACTGAAGGCACCATTGCTCTAACTAGATATGTGTCCTCAACATTCCTTGCTGAAGGCCAGTTAATCTGTAACATATTGTATCCACTTGCGTCACAAATCAAGTAGTGACAAAGGATGGAATTCAATTACCTGCAGGGAGGAGGGCATTTTCTCTTCCCCTGGAGGTTCCCATGTGCCCTCACTATTGATTCAGGAATTTGAGGGAACCCTCCAAAGAAGACTTTGGGTGGGTGTGAGGACTGTAGGGACAGGAAGAAAAAGTCCCATTTTATGACTGGAAATCCATTTGCATGTCTTCCACACAGAATAGTGAGAATGCTCCCATAAAAGCTGGATACGAAAGGGTGGGTTCCATTAAGAGAATGGATTCTTCCTCATTCTTTCAAATACATCCTTTATGGAAGCATTCTCACTATCCTTTGGCAATCCCTCAGTCATGAACATTTTTGAAGGATCTTCATCATTATGAGAAAAATCCTTTTGGAAGCTTCTACTCAAAATTGTACAGAAAGAATGGATCATTTTTGTGAAAGGCTTTTAGACAGTAGTCCATGTTCTGTGAACACCTCTGTTCAGATGCTCTTGAGAGCACGTATGCAGCTGTCCCAACAAAGAATTTTCTGTTCCACCAGAATATGCCTTGGTAGAAGACTACTCACCGTGCTTCTCTGTTCAATCTGAGGTCTCTCCAGGGCAATAGTGATGCAGTTTAAGAAAATGAAGGCCAGAACAATGTAATCAAAGAGCTTATGGGCAATGATAGTTTGGCAGAGGACACGAAACCTGGAAGACAGATAGTTTTGTTTGAAAGCACACATGTTTCTAATAGATTATAGAGACACTGACAAGGTCTGGAGGAGAAGGGAGATGGGGAAAATGACTGCCTGGGGAAGAAGGGAGATGGGAGATGAGGAAAATGACTGCTTTGTCTAATAGTGTCAAAGTTCTTTGTGTTCAACTTAAAGGTACTACTGATTTAATTAGTATTAGATCATAGAAATAAAAGGAATTTCCTGCTCTGACAGTTGGCATAAATTCCTTTCTGTCCGTAAGGTTTGTATTATAGAGTACTGTTTGTTTGTTCATTTATTATATTTACATCCCATCATTTTTCCTTCAAGAACTCAAGGCAACTTTCATACTTTCTCACGACTCAGGTAGCTCAGACTGAGAGCCAATGACTGGCCCAGAGTCACCCAGTGAGCTTTGTGGCTGAGTGGAGACTAGAACTAGGACCTCCTGAGTTCCAATTCAACATTCCAGCCACTATACCACACTGGTTCTTGCAGAATTTATGAATATAATCCATCAAGAGTACTATGTCTGGAGGGTAAGGAAAACTAGTAAGAGTGAGCAACAAATTTGGCTGAATCTTGAAAAGAATCAAGCAAGATGTCCAAATCAAAGCTGCCTTGAGTGCCATTTTCTTGGTAGAAAGTTGGGGTTGAAATCAATCAACCAATCAATCAAAAGCTCCTGCAAAGCAGGGAGAGAGAGAAAAAATCACAATCCTCTGAAAACATTGTTATTGTTAATAATTCTGAGATTAAAAATGGATTTAGGGACACAGACAGTGCATATACAAGAATTGCTATCCTACCCTGGCAGAAATTTCTTTACATCACAAAAACAGGGAGAGCAGGAAGGAGAGGAAGGGGAACAGTTTTGTAACTGGCAGATCTAGTTTCTAATGACAGAGAATGGCTTCACCAGTGTCTGTGGGGAGAACTGTTGAAAAAAGATATCATGGGCTCTTCCTCATTCAGTGCTTTTTGCTAGTTTTCTTTCCCAGGAACTGTGATGTTTAAAAGGGGTTTCTGGAGTTTGTGGCACTGGGAAGGGTGTAGCATGGGTTATTTGCCAGGAAAATATTAGATATTTAAATCTTTCTGATTTTGCCACTACTTGCTCAACATCCATAATTCACCCCTGCCCTATTGCACTTTCTGTGACTTCAATGCCAATTGAGCAGAAAAAAGGACAACTTTAAGCTGTTTTTCATTCACCATAGCTCCTTAGCTCCAGTACCTTCTAAAAGTTTGCAGGTTTCTTGCCTAGGGACACCTCTATGACGAATGACATTTTCATACAAATTAGTCCCCTACAAAATTTCAGAGAGAGCGAAAGGGACGCAAATCCCCCTCCCCACATCTGGACACTCTCATTCCACCAAAACTGTGGTACCTATACCTCTGAAAATTGTCAGGTTTCTTAGTTAGGACCATCTGTATGTGCATGTCATTAAAAAAAATTCATGCAAAGAACTTAGGGGGAACCTCATCCCTTTTAGAAATTGTAAGGGCTGTTCATGTACAAAAAACTTTGCACCTACTCATCTGAACTTTGGCGTGTTTGATTTCCTCAAAACAGTCAATGATGCTGCAAATGTAATTTGCAAATTCCTTTACTATCTCACTCTCTCTTTCTTGCCCTCAGATTGTAAAGCTATCTAGACTCAAACTCCTGGGTCTATTTGTTCGAATTTGGCAGGCTTCATCCCTTTTTAAGAGGTTACTTTACCCCCATATCTTATCCTTCTTCTGTTGTTTTTTAACAGAAAAAAGTTACAGCCATTTGTTGATTGGCAGTGAGAGCCAATGGGAAGTATGAAGCTTCAGGGTTTTGAAATGAGATTTGGATTTGACCCCCAAGTTATATCAGGTAGCCTTCCAATGGGTCCAAGGTGAATTAGGTGGAATTCCAAACCAAGGTCTGAACCAAATTTTGCAGTCTGGATCTTAAAACAATAGCTTCAAAGAAGGACTGGGGGCAGGTGATTGCCACCTAAAAATATTACCTTGTTGCTACTAATTTCATAGTGGAAGGGTTTGCACATCAATACCACAACTGAAGCCTAAAGTAAATGAATCACACCTGTTTTGTGGTGAGAAGAGATAGATGGACCAGTCTTCCCTCAACTCACACCAGTCTGGCTTATAGGCTTCTATCATCTTTTTGATTCGGAAACACAGGCTCTGTGGAAATAGAAATTGACTGTTAGAAGTCACCATCTTCTTAACTTCCCCACATAAGCACCATTCGCTCTTCATTCCCTTTATCACACACTGATAAATGGAGACTTCCCAATTCATCATCATCATTGATCATTTGCTACCTGCCATACCCCCTGTGGGGTAGAAAATGACTTAAAATCACAGTCACAAAGTAATGACAAGGACAAAGTATTCAGAAGTCTTGCTCTGATCTGACAAAGAATTGTTGGGCTGAAAGAGAACCCCGGGGTCATCAAAGCTAACCCCATGCACTGTGGCAGGAGTAATGAGCTAATTTACCTCCTAGAAAGCAGAAAATCAACTTGGCCATTTCAAAGTAGATTGGAAGCATTGCTGATTGTGCCACAGTTAGTATTATTAACAGGCAGTCTACCGAAGGAACTCAGAGTGTTGTCTATGACAGACAAATCTGTTGAGCTCTCCTTATTACTACAAGCTTTTCCAACATGGTGCTTTCCAGATAGTTCAGATTACAAATCTTATCAGTCCTAGCCAGCATAGTCAATGGCCAGCAATGCTGAGGCTGTAGTCCAAAGTGTCTGTAGAGGATCAGGTTGGGGAACATTGCTGTATGCATACCACTGGATTCCCAAGCACTGCGGCTTTGGGAGTTATGGGCAAGCAGGATTATGCAAAGCCCTTAAGGTCCCTTTAGTGGAAGGAGCAAGCACTCACATAATCTATCTCCTCCTCGTCTTCGCCATGGTCCTTGCGATTGTTCATTTCTGGGAAGATGTCCTTAGCAATATTGGGCATTTTACCATTGCAGTTTTGGTGCTCACTAGGCCCTGTTGTCACACCAGCTTTCTGTGCTGGCCTGTACATGGATGGAACTGATGGTGCCAACTCCACCAGCTCAGGCGAGCCTTTGGTGTCCAAGGAGAGTGTCCGTCGATGGTGGTGAATTCTCACTGGCCCCTCTCGTTCTCCATCCGACATTCTGTGTCTCTTTCCAGATAAGAGTGATTCATGCTCAGCTGAAGGAGGCTTGTGTTTGAGACTGTGTCCTCGTGCAAGGTTGTTCCAGCTGGAGCGTCGGCTTCCCCAGCCCCCACTCCGGCCCCAGGCTCCATAGTGAGAGCTGCGAGAGCTAGACTATAAGACACCCAAGAAAAGATTTAGCACCTCCAGCCAAACAGAACTGTTATAGGAGTCAGCTTCTTCAGTCACAGACATGCATCTAATCCCCCTAAAGTTCTCATGTTAGAAAACTAGAGGGGGAAAATAGGTGCACTCGGAAAATAAGTGTAAGCACAAGAACAGTTTTTCAGCTGTTCTACATTGAAGCCACTGCAAGCATATTCTGATTTTCAGAGACATCCACGATCTGAGTCTGAGCCAATGTCATTAGAACAGCTTTCTCCACCTTGGGGTTACTCCAGAGGTGTTGGACTGGAACTCCCATCATTGTCCATGCTGTTTGAGAACAATGGAAGTTGCAGCCGAACAACTATGTAGATTGGTGAAGGCTGAGCTAGATTAATCAACCAAAAATATTTTGACTGACCCAAAAGATGTCTCTGATTAAGCAAGCAGCATGCACACAAACACACACACTTAAATCTAAGTTATTAAGAATTGCAGATGGCAAGCACTGTCTTGGAGGAGGCATCCCGTCTTCCTCACACACATAGGAGGGAATGCCTCTTCTAAGAGGATGGCACAGACTGCAGCCTCATAGAACAAAGAAAGAGGGATGTGGGGGTTCTATTACCAAACTATTACTTGTAGTCATTTGCAAAGCATCAGTCAATTAAGTCTAAATTCATATGGTTAATTGACTGAGATTTCTTGAACTGGCTGTTAAAACTGTCCTGAGACATTCTGTAGGGGACAGAAAAGAAAAACTTTTAATAAATAAGTAAAATTATTAAAGGTTGTCCCTACTTCTAAGATTTGCCTACAGTTGTGCTTACTAGAAGGTACAAGACACTATGGAGAGCAGCAAACTGTGAAGGGGTCTTTGCTCAGTTAGGTTTCCCACTCAGATCCAAAGAAAGAGAGAAACAGTGACAGCGGACAGAAAGCATGACTGCATTTGTCTCCTAGATACAGTGTGAGAATCTCATAGGGCAACCAGCCATGGCTGCAGCACCAGCACTGCGCCCCTCCTACTCAAGCTCACTGGTTTCAGATAGTTCCTCATTCTGATAGCTTTTGCCCAAATATGAAATGAGCCAAAGCTTGAGATCTATGATGGCCAATTTTCTTGTATCACAATTGTAAATGGCCATAATGGTATAGGGCAAATGATGTTTTGCTGCACAGAATTTATGTATTTATTTGTATTGCAATTTATATCCAGCCTTTTTCCTACAAAGGGCTCAAGGCAGCTTACATCATCTCTCCTCCTCCATCTTATCCCCACAACAACAACCCTGTGAGGTAGGTTGGGCTGAGAGTCTGTGACTGGCCCAGAGTCACCCAGTTAGCTCCACGGCTGAGCGGGGACTCGAACCCAGATCCTCCGAGTCCCAGTCCCAGGCTCTTAACCACGGCGCCACACTGGATCTCCAATTCAACATGAGATACCAGACTCCTGCCTTTACTTTCACAATAATCTTTGAGGTTAGCCCAGTAGGAATCTGAATTTTGTCTCCAAATTCAGGACTCTATCCCCTGGACAACCTATGGCCCTGGTGATGTTGATTGATTCCAACTACCATCAGCCCTAGATAGGAGGGCCAATGATCACAGATGATGGGAGTGGTAGTGCAGTAACATCTGCTGAACCACAGTTGTTCAGTTTTGTTTCTTCATACAGACTTCCTGTATTGCACAGTAGCATATTTGAAAATTAGAAAAGGGGAGGCTGACATGAAGTACAGGTTTGATCAACTTGGCCTAGCCTTAATCATTAAATCACAGTGTACCTTGGCTACCAACCACCGGGGACCTTCTCTGTACCAAGCCCCAGCCATCTTGCACAACCTCGATTCATTTAAATGGTGCTGGAAAAGAAAAGGATGGTATTCCTTTTTCCCATGATAGCAATCATGTCTGGAAAAACATGGAGGATGTGCAGGACATCAATCAGGCATATTCAAATTAGAGGAGTCCAGGACTTGTACTAAAAGTGGTGTTGGCAGTAGGATATATGAAGGTCTAGGACATTTGGAAGAAGCAGTCAGCTGTAAGCTTGGAACTAATAGCTCAGTAGCAGAGCAAATGCTTTGAAAACAGAGGAGCTTGTTCCCTGGCACCGTTAAGTAAAGCCGTCTTCCTCTACTTGGTGCCCTCCAGATCTTTTGGATTTCACGTCCCTTTGCCCCCTCCCAGGATGACCAATCTTTGGCAACACATCTGTAGAGTAGCAGGTTGGGAAAGACTGAGTTGAAGGATCTCATTCGCAGGTATTGGAGGGGAAAATATGCTACCTGTGGCTTTAAAGTTACTCACCAGAGACATCACACTGCTTTTTCTGGATTCAAGGGCCACAAGGACTTTGTCTGGCTGCAGAGTGTTGTGGCAATGATTAGCAAATCCAACAGCTGTCCCAGGCTGGTTGAGACAAGGAAGGCTGGGGTCAAGATGTCCATTTGGGGTCATGGAAATTGCACAAAGCTTTGGATCATCTGAGCAGAAAAACAAAAAAGGAAGAGAGAGAGAGAGAGAGAGGGAGAGGGAGGGAGAGGGGGAGCAAAATACATTCCTTTCCCTTCTCCGTCCCAGAGAGGGTATAAAGAAAAAGCTTGTCTAGTGCTTAAATACAAAAATCAGTAACTGTTCACACACAAATCCCACATATGTAGATTCTCCTACAGACCTCTGGGTTATCTCCATAGCAATGCCTACTCAAGAAAAAAGGGCTCAGTATGGAAGAAGAAAACAGGTTATCCTCTCTCCCCATCACATAACAGCTTCTGCTTGAACAGTGCTTCAAACTTCTCCCTTTGAAGACAGGAGATTTTATAATTAATCTCTTCCTTTGTAGAAGGAAGCAGATCCTTTAATGGCCAGTTGCTTAACATTTACCAGCACAAAAGGGTTCCAGTGGTAGGTGCTCCACTGCAGAAGAAGGAGAAGCAATAGAATAGGACAATGATGTTGTAATAACAACCTTCAGGATTATCATTTTAATATTCAAATAAACAGATAAAAGCAAAACTTTTCTTTCTGTTTTCAAAGAGGTAGCAATTGTAGCTTTGTTCCCTGTACAGAGCCACAATATCAAGGGAGGATATGGAGCAATGAACAAAATTGGAGAAGAAATTAACTATTTGGTGAAAAAGACTTGAAAAATGCCTCTGTGTCCTCAAATCAGAACAGTCAATCGTACTTTGGTCTTTCTCTGGGAATTGGAAGCATTTATTTTATTTTTTTAGGGAACTTCTATGCCGCCCCATTTGCCGAAGCCTCGGGGCGGCTCACAAATATAAATAAATAACATCATATAAAACAATATAATTTAACAGTATAAATTAAGTCACCCTGGCAAAAGAATAAAATAAATAAATAATATTAACAATTAAAATAACGTTTAAATAAAAAGGTCTTCGCCTGGCGCCGAAAAACAAATAACAACAGCGCCAGGCGGACCTCTCTGGGGAGCGCATTCCATAGATTAACTCTAGACCTGCCAAAAAACTCTACCAACTATGCTACTCAAACTTTCCTGGTGGCAGAGCATCTGCTGAGCCACAGTTCATGGGAATCCATTCACTATTGTGCCCTAAAATGTTTGGGATTGTGCCCTAATCTAGTAAAAAAAAGGAGAGAAGATTATTTGGAATGGTATAAGCTTTGGGGTGCTTCCTGAACCTGATGCTCTCTGAAGGTGTTGGAATACAATTTCCATCATCTCCAGCCAGCACAGGGAGTTGTACTCCAACACATCTGGAAGTTACCAGGTTGTACTGGTATATAGGAAGAGTCAGGAAAGGGCATTGCTGAGAAAATACATCTCAGATGTAATTTCTAACCCTAAGATTAGCTTGCTGTTTGTCTTCCAATAGCATTCCAATGTCCTATGGATTCCTCAGAGGACTGCTTGATTGTTGAAGGGGTTTCCCTGACTTTTGCTGTGAATTCTGAACTCCCAGTGATATCATGTACACTGGAGTATATCCTTCATTGTGTCTCATGGAAATCTTCAAATCAGAGGTTCTTTCTGAAAACTAACTTATCTTGCCACCTGTATAATGTCCCCTCCTCTCAAGTTCCCCCTGCTATAATAGCCAGGCTTAGTCAATGGCATGTACAGCTGTTTGTGCTAAGCTACCATCTATATTCTATCTCTGCACAAACCTGAACTGGCAACAAAGGTGGGCACTTACTGATTGATTTGATTTGAACTCTGCTTTTCTATTAAAAAAATGACATTCAAGGCAGTTTTCAGAAAAAAATTAAGACTTGTTTAAAAATGGAGGCATGGGGGCAACTTGTGTGGGGGCAATGCTTTGGCTACCACCCAAACCTGTCTTTCACATCCTGTCTTCACATCTATACTGATTTTACTGATGTTTGAATGTGAAGGTTTTTGTTACATCGGTAGTCACTGGATATGTTACATAGATTTTTCATTTTTCTCTGATTCGCTGATGCAATTTGAACACCAGGGGCTTGATTGAAACTCAGTGTGGGCCCCTAGATCCATCAACGGTTTGATCACCTTTATCATAATTATTCTAGTTCCTATCAGCCTAAGAGTAAAAACTAACCATCCCAATTTTGCCAGGCATGCCTACAAAATCTCTGTTGTTTTCCAAAGTGAGACATATTCCTTTTGGAGGTAATAAACAGGATCTAGGCCACAACATGGCCCAAAGATGCCCAAGTGTGGCAAGATGCTTCGCCACAGTTTTTGCTTGAGAACTAGAATGCAATGCCATCACAAGATCAATTTTAGTGGACCCTGAAGCACACCTTGAACAAAGAAAAGAAGGATGGAGCTGTCTCAGATGTAATGTGCTTTTATATAAATGGGACCCCAGAATATTTAGCTAGGTATTTCTTTGAAAACCCATATCTACTCAAAAGCAATTTCCATTGAGATTAATGGGAACCCACTTCTAGTGTAGGTATATGGCTGCAGCCTTATTAAAAAATGTGAGATGCTTGTTTGAAAAGCAAAACTCTGCAGCTAAATTTGAGGAATGGAATAAAATGCGCTTATTATGAACCTCTTCATAAATACATTTATTTTGATCCTTTCTCTGAAGCTTCATTGCAGTGTCCCTAAGAGTTCCATTTCTCTCTTGGTGGTTTCATATATTTGAGACATACGTGAAATCACTGGGAGAGACTGTTTGAGTCAGGGGTTGGTGACACCAGTCTGTTGATGATATCCACCCTATCTGTCCTCTTCATCTAGATCCAGGGAAGCTTGCCTCACACAATGCAAAAAACCATGCTACCTTATAAGTTGGGATGTTGTCTGAACACACCTAGAGTGGCTTGTACATGATTAGTAAACCATGCTGCTGAATTAGCACAAACAACAAGTCACCCCAGCTTTATAAGACACCATGGCTTAGTGCTGTGTGACCTGAGTGTCTAATGTTGGTAATGGACTGAACGAAGATGAATAAATAAATTATTAATACAGACGAGGCAGAGATGCACCTGGTTAGTCAAAAGACAGGCCAGGGAATAGGGATTCAGCTTGTGCTGCATGGGATTACACTCTGTCTGAACACTCAAGTTCATTTGGGATGCAGTCCCAAATTCAACACCGTACCTGGATGCCCAAGTCTCAGTAATAGCCAGGAGTGCATTTGCACAGCTGAGCCTAGTCAACAACTGTGCCTGTTCCTGCAGATGTCACATCTGGCTACAGTGACACATGATTCAGTTACTCCTTTTTAGACTACTACAACAGGCTCTGCCTTGGGCTGTCTTTGAAGAGTTTAGAAACTTCAGCTCATCCAGAATGCTGTGGTCAGACCATTGACTGAGGCTGGTTATAAGAAGTGTGGGATTTCTTTGCTTATTGTTCATTTAAATTTTATTCATTACATTTCTAAACTGCTTTATAGTCAAAGCTCTTTGGGCATTTCACAACCATTAGAGCCATAAAATACACTGTAAGATTTTAAACATATAAAACTAATGCATGAAATAAAAGCAAAGGCCAATGCAAAACCTAGAAATCATAAAAATACTTAAAATACAGTAAAAGATTTAAAAGAACAGAAACTGAAAGACTAAAATTCCCAGGTAAACAAGAAAGTTGTCTTCTGGTGCTGCAAAGAGCACAACAGAGATGCAAGGCAAATCTATCTGGGAAGCTCATTCCACAAGCAGAGTGCCGCATCAGAAAAAGTCCTCTTCAAAGTAGCCATCGACCTCTCTTCCTTTGGTTGGGACTCCCAAAAGATTTTAGGGCCCAGGCAGGTATATATGGGAAGAGATGATCTTTCAGGCCTCAAGCCGCTTAAAGCTTTGAATATTAATACAAACACTTTGACTTGGGCCTGGATGTGGACTGACAGCCAGGGCAGATGGTCAAGTAATAGCCTAATATGATCATGTTGGTCCGCTCTCTGTAATAGCTTCACAGATTACCAGCCAGTTTCCTGATACAATTCAAAGTACTGGATGTACATGAAGCCCTACAAAGCTCTACCTGAAAACATTCTTCCTTCTCCCTTATGAGACTGCCAGGGTTTTAAGATCTTCTGAGCAGGCCCTTCTGTTAGTCCCAGCATCATTAGAGACAGAGGAGAGGGTCATAGGAGAGGGTCTCACAAGTCAAAACATGGAAATGCTTATGACTATTAGAATACAACAGGTTTCTCCGTGGATTTTCCATGTTTGGGACTTCCTGCTAAGGCAAGCTAGGTTACTTCCCTCTCTGTTGTCCTTCTGCTGCTAGGTAAAGTTATTTTTGTCCAAGAAGACATTTGGCATGTAAGTTCATTTGTGGCTGAAAGCCTTTACTAGGTCAGGATGTGGTTTATTAAGTTTTCATTTATTTGTTTTTATTAATTTGTTTATTTAAAACATTTTTATGCCACCCCCATAGCAACAAAGCCTCGGGGCAGCTTACAACAAGAACAAAATATACAAATATAACACATTATACAATAAAAATATTATGTTCTATTTGTTTTAATATCTATTTTATTAATATTAGCAGCCTTGATCACCATTTTTTTCTGGAAAGACAAGATAGAAATGTAATGAATGACCAAACACTAGGTATCACAAACAGATCTTCTCAAGAATTGGAAGAGGCTACCAGTCTTTATCTGGCAGACTTCCAGATGCTACAATTCTCACTGTAGTTCAGAGTCATGCAGAATCTCTGCGCACTGTGCTCTTACCTGAACCATCCTGGAACTTGTCAAACTCTTCCATGTTTGATGAACTCTGATCCTCATCTGAATACGATCGGTTAGCATCACCCTGTGTTGGGAAAATAAATGCAAAGACCTGGGAATTGTGAGCATCCTGTAAGCAAAGAAGACATCTCCTTCTGATTATAGCATTTTACCAGGAATTTTCAAAGGAGGGCAAACTATTTCATGAATAAAATGGCATGCTATAACAATGCATGGAAGAGATGACTCTCCTTTAGAGTTCAGGATAAGTCATGTTACATCAGAGTTCAGTTTGTTCACTTCTTCATATACTTCTGTCTATAAATGCATGACTTAGAGCAGGCTTCTCCAACCTTATGCCCTCCTGTTTTCAACTATAAACCATCATCCCCATCCAGCATGGATAATGGAATGGGAGTTGTAATCCAACATCTCAGGGGTGCCAGGACGGGAAAAGCTGACTAGAGGATCACTGGACATCTGATTGCCTTGCTATCTTTCTCAACTCTTTAAGCTCTCTCTCTCCCATTTAGTATATAGACCTTTGTCCTTCTTAAAGATGGGCAGATTTTCAATCTCTGTTTTGCCATGATTGTTGGTCAGTTCTGTCTCAATTCTGTGTGAGCTTGTGATGATGATGATGATGATTTTGAACTCCATATGGAAATGATTATACATTTTTGTAATACATGCATTTTTCAGTATATTTTTAAATGTGCCCCTGTTTTGGACTCATACACTGATTGACTAAAGTGTGTTTGAGCGCATTTTGGAAATGAATGCCTTTTCTTTTCTCACTTTTCAAATCTTTGCATGTTGGTGATCATGTTTTGTTTTGCCTGACACATCAAAACACACTGAAATGCAGATTTCTGGACACATATTCAGTCTGGGTCCACACTCAGACCTGAGATACACAGCCTGAAGAGATCCTTTAAAAAACTGCTGTTGACAGATAAAATTCCTCATTTATCTCTAACCATTTCTGCCTGGAAAGAGTTGTTATAGCAACTTACCTCAGCCTGGAATCCCTCCACTAGGATGGCCACCAGCAGATTGAAGAGAACATAGTTGCCAAATGTCATGAGAGCCACAAAATAAAGGGATGCCCATGGGGATGTTGAGGCCATCCCATTGTATAGCACAACGTTCCAATCCTCCTGAGTCAAGATCTGAAGCACAAAACCCAAGCTTGTAAAGTCAAATCAAGATCAAGAGGATGCTGACATGGTGATAATGCATTAAGCAAGAAGGAAAAGTCTCTGCTTCTGTCTTTTACAGCTGATTTACATGCATGAACTATTATTATTGTTTCTGTTCTTATTCTGAAATATTAGCTATCAGGAGATGCATTGATCATTTTGTACTGTGCCAATGTCACAGGCACTCTCTGAAATCCAGTGGGCTTGTCATTCACAGATCACTGGCAAGCAGCAGATACAGCACAGCTCTGTTATAGTAGGTTGTGAACATCGGTAGGTCGCAACTGATGGCACAGTGACTCTGTGTGCAGCCCTGTCTTCTACAAATGGTGGTAAACATGGCACCATGCCAAGAAGACTGTTCCAGTTCCATCCTCTCCTTACCATTCTGGGCTTCTGAAGAACATAACCTCCTCCCCATCCCCTTCCTCCTCCTGCCCTGCCTTGGACTCACCTGGAATACAGTGACAATGGCCCATAGCAGGGAGTCAAAATTCTTCCGGTCAGGGACTGTATCTCCTGTATCTGTTCTGAGGCTGAATTTACAGCCAAAAATATGCATGCCCAGGATGCTGTTGGGAAGAATAGGCATTGTGTGTTTATTCTTCCATACCTTTCTGCAGTATGTTAACAGTTATTTAACTATTCTTAGTTATCTATTTATTGTTCACATTTATATCCTACACCTCCAGCGAAGTGTTCCATGGAATGCATACGGCCTGCCCCATTTTGACTTTACAACTCTTTGAAGTAGGATTCCCAAGGTCACTTAGAATACAATTCTATACATATTAAGACAAAAATTATCTCTACAATTCCCAGCCTTTCCCTAGCCTTCACTGTTGATATTGATGGGGGTATCTGGCTTCAGACAGCTTCCTCGCTTGCTAGTTTCCAGTATGCATTCTCAAACACATAATGTTCATTATTTTATTTTCATCATCCAAACATGCGTTCACTGGAATCAGGTTAAAATTTAACAAAGCATATCAACAGTTCTGAAGCATACCACACCCTTTTTTGGAGCATGCCGTAATTACATTAGAGACAGATTATTGTAACACCAGACGCAACACATGAGAAGTTGCAAAGCAGGACAGGGCTCAGTCCTCTAAGGTTCTTCTGTTCTCTGAGTTCCTTAGACTTGCAGTGATGCAGGGGCAATTGTCAGTAAGAGGAACCATCCATCCTAGTCTCCAAAAAGGCTGGGTCTGAGGTCTTGATGTTCAAGTACATGCAAGTGTGGTGGTCTATGGTGCAGGTTTTGAGAAACAAAGACAGATTTCAAAGATATGTTTGCTATTCTTTTGCTCCAATCTAATTTTCTGAGACTTGTTGGCAAATTAATTTTCATCATGTTAGTTTTGTATCCAACACCAAGATCTCACAATTTGGCTTATCCCCTCCTCCCTAACATTGTTAGGATACAAAATTGTTAGCATACAAAAATTCTAAATAAATAAATTGTGTTATATTATTTTCTATGTTCTTTCTCCTCCTTTGTCCTTCTTCTCCTTTGCAGAAGACATTGCTCCTGCAAAGAGAAAGACAACACACAGTATCTCTTATACTGTTGTCAAGTGGGAAAGAGAAAGTATTGATCTGACAATGCTTCTCCAAGAAGGTGCAAAAACCTCATCAAAATATGGTATCACATGTTTTGGATGCTTATCTGCTAAAACTGATAATTATTTGTGTGTGTGTGGTAGGAGGGAGGTTGTCACTATAGTGGAATGAACCACATTTGGTATTTGCCTTTAAAGTGGGGGCAGGAAGGAAAGACACACTGCCTCTGTTGCTGGGGGTAATATACAGCCATATCATAACCCTGTTGGTTCTCTGGACCTCTCAGCAGCTTTCAGTACTATCAACCATTGTATCTCTTCTGGGACAACTGCCTGAGCTGGATGTGAGAGGTACTGCACACATGCACACGCACACACGCACGCACAGACACACACACTGGGCCCCTGAATGACCAGGGAGGTCTTTAAAGGTCTCTACAAAGATGACTGTCTTAATCTGGCACTGAAAAGATGGCAAATCTAGTGCCATGCAGGCTGGAGCAGGGAGGTTGTTCCAAAGAGGGGGGGCCACCACAGAAAAGACTCTCCCCCTAGTTGCCACCCTCTGAACCTCTTTGGGGGTTGATATCTGGAGGAAGGCCCCAGAGGCTGAGTGTAGTGTCCAGATAGATTGGGGTTGGGAAACGTGCTTCATTAGGTATTGTGGTCCCAAGTAATGCAGAGCTTTATAGGTTAAGACCAGCACCTTGAATTGGGACTGGAAGCATACAGGAAGTCAGTACAGGTGAGCCAGAACTGGACTTATATATTTGAACCTCTGGATCACTGTTATTTAGCTGCTGCTTCTGAACCTTGTTCAAGGGCAGCCCTGCATAGAGTGTGTTGCAGTAACCTAATTTAGAGATTACCACAGCATAGATTACTGCAGCCAGGCTGTCCCTGTCCAGGTACAGCTGGGCCACCAGCCAAAGCTGGCTGTCTGAGACATTGATGCCACCTGAGCCTCAAGTGGCAAAGATGATCAAGCTATGAACCTGCTCCTTCAGGGGGAGTGCAAACCCATCTAGAACACTCCTCATCTGATCAAAGGTATCACCCATCAACAACATTTCAGTCTTGTCTGGATTGAGCTTCAGTTTGTTAGCTCTCATCCAGCCCTTGGCTGCAGCCAGGCACTGGTTTAGCACATTCACAGCCTCACCTTTCAGCAATGAGAAGGAGAAATAGAGCTGTGTGTCATCAGCATACTGATGGCAATGCACTCCAAAATTCTGGATGACTCCACTCAGAGGTTTCATGTAGATGTTAAATAGCATGGGGGACAGAATAGACCCCTGAGGAGATGGCCTTCCAAGTAGGAGCAAAACCACTGCAACACGGTGCCCCCCACTCCCATCTCAGCCAGCCGTGCCAGAAGGATACCATGGTTGATGGTATCAAAAGCCACCAAGAGGTCCAGCAGTATCAACAGGGTTGTACTCCCTTTATCTCTCTCTCGGCACAGGTCATAATACAGGGTGACAAAAGGTATTTCTATGCCAGAACTAGGCCTGAACCCTGATTGAAATGGATCTAGATAATCAGTTTCATCCAAATTGCCTGAAGTTGATTAGCAACCATCCTCTCTAGAACCTTGCCCAGGAAAGGAATATTTGCTACCAGATGGTAGATGTTCAAATTTTCTGGGTCAAGGGAGGGTTTCTTGAGTAGTCTCACCACCGCCTCTTTAAGGCAACATGGTACCACTCCTTCTCGCAAAGAGGTATGAATGACCTCCCTGGCCCACCTGGTTATCCCTTTCTTGCTGGCTTTTATAAGCCAGGAGGGGCAAGGATCCAGTACAGATATAGTTGCACATACCTGTCCAAGCACCTTGTCCATATCCTCAAACTGTACCAACTGAAACTCATCCAATAAAACTAGACCAGACTGTGCTCTTGATAGCTCCAGTGATTCGACTGCTTTAACTGTGGAGTCCAAGTCCTGGCAGATGCAACAGATTTTTTTCCTGGAAGTGCCCAGAGAACAGACTACAGTTGGCCAGGAATAGTTCCAAGCTGTCCTTGGGGCCAGAATGTAATAAGCCCCAGAAAATCTTGAAAAGCTCTGCTGGGTGGCAAAGAGAGGATTGAATACAGCCAGTGAGGTTTTTCTTTTTTGCTGCCCTCACTGCCTCGAAATATACCTGATTGTGGTCACATGCAAGGTTTCTGTTGCATTCACTGGGAGTTCTCCTCCATCTTCACTCCAGCCATCTCCTAAGTTTTTTTTATCACTCAGCACCAGGATATACCACAGAGTTGTATTTGCTCTACAACAGAGAGGTCATTTAGGAGCAATCGTGTCAACCACCTGGGTCATTTCGGTATTCTACAGAATGACCAGGGATTTGACAGGAGCACCAGACATGTCAGCCCACCCCACCCCACTGAGGCCTTTAGAAACCATCTGGATCCATTATCCTCTGAGGGTGAACCATCTTAATGGGTTTCCTACCCTTGAGGAGGAAAAAAGCCATCGTAAGTGTAATCTCAGCAGGTGGTGATCTGACCATGAAAAAAGGACTGAGTCGAAGTCTCCCACACTCACAGCACCATCACCTTATCAGGCTGAGAAGGCTAAGTCTAGAGTAAGCCCTGCCACATGTGTCAGGCCAGTGAAATGTAGGGACTCTCTGAGGGTTGTCATGGAAGCCATGAAATCCTAAGCTGCCCTGGATATGGTGCTGTTAGTGTGAATGTTGAAGTCCCTCCGGACCAAGAGTATAGGGCAGTGATGGCGAACATTTTAGAGACCAAGTGCCCAAACTGCAACCTAAAACCCACTTATTTATTGCAAAGTGCCAACACTGCAATAAAACCTGAAAACTGAGGTTTTAATTTAGAAAAAACAACTCACAGCCAGACCAAGCAAATATATATATATCCTTGGCAGCGCACTGACCAGCCATGCAAAAGCTAGACTAGTCGCGGCTAATGAGTCGCGGCTTGTGATGCCATCGCCTGGCACCACTACTCCTTTTCAAGCATGCGCATGGCCCCTATATTGCTGTTATACGATGCTCAGCTGCTGGGGCAATGCTGGCATGAAATGGCTCACGTGCTGAAAGAGAGGTTGCTGTGTGCCCGCTGTGACAAGCATGTCATAGGTTCAGCATACACTAACCCTAACCCTAATCCTACCCTGGGGCAATACCTAACCCTAATACAGAAGTCCCCCGAAATTTGTGGGGGTTGCATTCCTAGAGCACCCGCAAATTGTGAAAAAACACGAATTTGGTGCCGGCAATGGGTGCCGGCCACCAAGGTAGTGCAGGTGGGGAGCGTGGGCCGGGCCGGGCCGGGCCGGGCTGGGGGAGGGAGCACGTGGGAGTGGTGAGGCATGGGCATGGGATGGGGCATGCAGAGATCGTTTTCTCTGAGCGAGTCTAAACCAATCTTTGCTCACAAGGAGATAGATTTGGACTCACTCAGAGAAAAGGACCTCCTTGTGAGCAAGCCGCCACACGGAAATTCCATGAAAGACTGAGGCCATGAACGCTGAAGCACAACTTCAAAGGGGTATACTGTATAAGGATAAAATACAATTCAAAGGGGAGATTTTGGAAAAAAGCCTTCCTTGAGTAGCTTTTTCTGCACAGCTCATCATTTCTGCCCATTCTAAACACATTCCAACCATCAAAATCATAGCAGGACACCACATTTTTCTAACCCTAACCCTAACCCGGTGCATACCCCTAACCCTGATGTAGGATGAAAGTTCCATTGAAAAAAGGGTGAATTTGAAAAGTCCATCCGTGAGTAGGTTTTTCTGCATATCTCATCATTTCTGCACATTCTGAAGACATTCCAACCATCAAAATCATGCCAGGACACCTCGTTTTTGTAACCCTAACCCTACCCTGGTGCACACCCCTAACCTAATACAGGTCCAAAGTTCCATTGAAAAGTGAGTGATTTTGAAAAAGCCTTGAGTAGCTTTTTCTGCACATCTCATCATTACTGCCCATTCGAAACACATTCCAACCATCAAAATCATACCTCATTTTTCTAACCCCAATCCAGTGATGGTGACCCCTTTAGAGACTGAGTGCCCAAACTGCAACCCAAAACCCACTTAGGTATATGAGTCCTGGTGTGTCACATCATTGCCTGGCGCTGCTACTCCTTTCCAGGCATGCGCATCACCCCTATGTGTGCTTTTATCCTATGCTCAGCTGCTGGGGTGATGCTGGGTTGACTTGGGTTGCATCCCAACAGAGAGGACTCTGTGTGCCTGCTGTGGCACACATGCCATAGGTTCGTCACCACTGGCTTAGGAGAATCCAACATCACATCCAAGACCACCTCTGTCAGTTCAGTCAGCCAGGCTGATGGGTTGCAGGTCAAGTGGTACACCACCAGAATCCCCATCATGTCCTGCTGGCCCAACACAAGTTGCTACCAATCCAAACTAGCTGTCAGATGGACAGGGCTCCTGGAGAGAGATATAGAATTCCTATAGACCATGGCAACCCCCCCTCCCCGGCTTTCATATATACCCTGATGCTGGACCAAGAACCTAGGTGGCACAACTGGGAAAGATGAACTCCTCCTTATTCACCCACCCAGGTCTTGGTGGATGGATCCCATGCTAATTAGTATTCCGGTTTTATGTGTACTGGTATTTTGTGGTATCATCTCATCTTGTACAAAGGATCCGTCTCCTCACCTGAATATAAAGATAAATAGCATAAGCAGCATGCAGAAGGTAGCCACATTGTCCATAGTCTTCATTAGCACCACCAACTGACGCCGCAAGGCAGGCATGAACCTCACCAACTTCAGCACCCTCAACAGCCGGAATGTCCTCAGTACAGACAGACCTCCATCAGCTTGGCCTATGATTTCCCAGATGCTACAGACCAGAGAAAAATGGAGTAAGAAATATAGACAGAGAGAGGCAGGATGGGGGTGGGGAATTGAGATTCTCTCTCTCTCTCTCTCTCTCTCTCTCTCTCTCTCTCTCTCACACACACACACACACACACACACACACACACACACACACACGGAGAGAGAGGCGGGCGGGGAGAGAGAGCAAGGGTCAGACCTAAACTTTGGGAAAAATAGCAGAAAGGAATCCAAAAAGATAATGAAAGGCAGTGAGATTATAAATGCAAAGAAAATGTATTTGAATGATCTTTAATTAGAGACCAAGCCGACTGTGCATCTGTGAGACAAGAGAAAATAAGAGAGAGAGAGAGTAGGAGAGAGCAAAAGACAGAGAACGAGAGAAAATGAATTTCTGCCTCAATTACACTGGTGTCTATGAACCAATTTTCTCTCTGTGTAAGCAATATAAAGTCTGTCTGGATTAATCATGTGTGAACAAAATACATTTTTAATAAATATTATATTGAGTCAGTCTTGCATATGTATATACATTAACTGGGAAAAGAGAGTGTGTGAGCATGCATGCCATTGGATTTTCACTCCCTGACATATTCCACATGTACTACTAAGTACTTCTTAAGATTTCCTTAGTAGCTTAGTGGGATCCAAGGAATACAAGCCTCAAAAGAACACGAGCAAATGAAAGCTGCAAGTAAATTAGGCCATAGGTTTCAGCAGCTTTCAATGAAACCATAATTTCAACTTCTGAAACAGTTTTAGAGTTACCTTTCATTTCTTTCTTCCTTTCTCAGTTTGAACATTTAGTTTTGGCTGCCACATCCATACTTCCCTCTTCTTGGAGTGTACCATAGCTGGATTGATATTAACATAGTATTATAATAACTTGGGTCAGATGATCAAAACAAGCCACAATGGTTTGCATAATCCAAAGTGCCATTTTCCTAATGACCTGCATGGGTGAGGCTTGTCATGATATCTAACCCTGGGTACCATGGTTTATATGAGGGAGAAACAACCCTCAAGTAACCCATAGCCTACTGTAAGCTCATTTAAGGCACAGTGGCTTGTTTGAGTGAATGGGATTATTATGCTTGGAACACTGTACTCTGCAAAGTAGTTTTTAAACTGCTGAGACATGGAGGAGGAGGCAAAGAAACCATGGCTGCCCGTACCCACTATGAGCACTGTTTTCCCTGAATGGCTTAAACCATTCTCTCTAAATCCTGCCTCTATTCTGTGATTTGCTATTTCCCCCTATTTTGGGGTGTGGAACTCAGGAACATTTTGAAATGTGCTGAAAGGAGTTCTGATGTAATGAGAACCACAGGAGCTGTAAAGTACAGGTTAAACATTAGATTACAATCAGGAATGGGCCTCAGGGGCATTTGACAGGTGCCCATTCTGTGGGCAATAACAGTATCATCTAACATAATTTGTGTCCAGTAATGGACACTTCCATTTCCCACTTCAGCAAAACAACTGGCAGCAAGTTGCCTATGGGCAAGGCTAATGATGACCTGGGACAGGTGGAGCAGCAAGAGGTCTGTCCCATGGTGCCGTACTGAGCCCATGCATAATGATGTGGTGAAAGAAAAACTGGTGGCAAAGTTGGAAGTAGAATCCAGTTCTTCCAAGTTTCTAGTCCTCATGCACTTGAGTGACTCATTTTGATTAGCCATTTTCATATTTTGCTGTTAAAAGGGCTAGTTCACAAAATTCACTGAAGTTCATAATTCCTAATGATGCTCACATTGGATTGATTGAGAAATAAGCTGAGTTGTCCTCCTTCATCCCAAACAAAAACAGGAAATGGGCCCATATATTTCTGAGCCAATCCAAACTGAATGGCCCCAAGGTGAGCTCTTATGTTACATCTCAAAAAGCAAGATACCATGGCTTTGGCTGTCATTACCTGATGATGACAATGATGCTGTCAAAGATGTTGTAAGGATTGCGAAGATAATCAAACAGACCAAAAGCAGCAAGTTTCAAGATCATCTCCAAGGCAAACATGCTGGTAAATACAACATTGCAGATCTCCAAAATATTGGTCAGCTCCTCTGGCTAGAGGAGAAACAAAGAAATCAGGGAATGAGAAGCAGTTGACTCGAGAAACATACCAATCTACATGATAGGAAAGAAATTTGACCACCTGGTTAGAAAAGGCACTCCTGGGGTCTTTCCAGTCTTTTATTGTGCAACTAGCAAATGGATCAATGTTTGCACTAATTGGATTAGTCATTAGTTTGATCCAGTTGTTTGAGCAGGACATACTGTACTGTCTTGCCAGCGTGAAGCCATTGTGCAAGAACCCTTGGGCTTGGTCCTGATGTGGACTGTCCTATGACAGGAAAGAGGGGGCAGCCAAATAATTCTATCCCCCTGACTCTTCCCCATAGTTTAAGACTGCATTGACTGCCAAGCAATATGTTGGCCAGGGAAGCTTCTCACCTAGAGACTGAAGGTGGTACTCTAGTCTTCAAACAGATGGATACATGAAAAAGAATTAAAATTAATTAATGCATTTTAAAAGTAAAATAACCAAGAGGCATGCATTCCTAGAGTCCACTAAGCATGTGTGTCATGTTTTTGGTGTCATCTGCAGGACCGTATGGAAGAAGATGCTTCTTCAGGTAGAATTGTAGAATAAGAGTTGGAAGGGGGCAGTAGGCCATCAGGTCTAACCCCTTGCTATTGCAGGACACTTAAACTCCATTCTCATGACTGTCCAGATGATTTTTGGATGTCTCTAGTGAAAGAGAGCCCACAACATCCCCAGATAATAGGATCCATTGTAGTAGTGCTCTGACAGTGAGAAAAATCTTCCTGGTGTCTAGTCTAAATCTGGTTTCTTTTAATGTAAGTCTGTTATTCCATGTCCTGCATTCTGGAATGGATGAGATCTCCTTCTTCCTCTTTGTGACAACCTTTCAGGTTCCTGTAGAGTGCTATCATACCACCCTTCATTCTTCTTTTCTTGAGGCTGAACATGCTAGTTCTTGCAATCTTTCTTCATAGGGCTTTGCCTCCAGTCCCTGAATCATCCTTGTTGCCCTCCTCTGTACCCTTTTGTAAAGTTTTTCTGCATCTTTTTAAAACTTAGCTGCCCAGAACTGGACACAGTATTCCAGGTGAGGTCTAACTGGTGACTAGGTAGACTGGTCCTAAGCCATTAAAGGCACAGTTCTACTGATTGCACCCTTGATGATCAGAAGACTCTGAACTCAGAGGCTTCTAGTCATCTGACGCAAGGTGGGACAAATGCCAGAGGTGATCTTTGTATTTCTGTCTTTCCACCTTGCATAATTTGCTGTGGAGGGAAGGAGGCTGGCCTCTCCAGTCTCTACTCCCCTTGCCCTCTGGAACAACCCCTTCCTCCCTTTCCAAGGTTGGTCCCCCTGCCCTGTGCCTGCAATGAGACAGGGGAGCAGGAACATACCTCAGAGACCCCTTTCCAACAACAGAGTACAGTATCTGGCCTCAGAATGGGGAGTCCCCAGTTTCTTAATGGCCTCTCAGGGTTACCAACCAGCATCCTATCAGGGTTTTGCAATGGATTTGAAGTTTTTCAGGACAGCACACTGAAAGAGTTATATACATATTCAAGAACCTTGCCTAAGTGGTTGACCACCCAGAGATTATTCTGACCACTAGAAGAGAATGTGTGTGTGAGAGAGGGGAAGGGGCATCTGTAAATTCAATGTGAATGTTTATTTGAACATCTTTTTCGGACTTAGGTTGCCATCTTGCTCTGTTACCTGCTATGGAGTTACACAGCCATGTCTTTTATGATGTTCTTAGACTATAGATTTTAAAGCATATTTTTATTGTCATGCTGTGGTATTGTTTGTTTGTTTCAAAATCTGAAGCTTTTTATGATCATTGGATTCTTTCTTCTCTGTTAGATACTGGGGATTTAGTGCCCTCCTTTTATTTTTGCTAAGTTTTTAAAATGGTGAATAGGTTATATTCATCAGCTCCATCACCCATCGCCTAGATTTAAGATAGTGGGCTACTAAGATCAGATTCAACCCTGGGATAATACACTAATGTTATTGTTATTATTGATATTGTTACAATGTAATTACATCTTTTTTTCCACTTACAAGTAACCTAAAGTGGCTTATGTAGGTCTCCTCCACTCCATTTTATCCTCACAATAACATCCTTGTGAAGTAGGCTAATTACTTCATTCTGGTGAAGTAATGAAAGTCGATTAGGCTCAAAGTCACCCAGTAGACTTCATGGACAAGTGGTGACTAGTGGGATCTCCTAGATCCCCAGTCCAACACTCTAAATACCATGGTATAATATCTCTCTCTAGTATGTTGCTTATCTAAATGATACAGATCACCATGTTCTTAAAGGGTGTTTATTGTATTAAAGTCTTCAATTTTCCTCGGTGCAAGTAAATGCATAGATAAAAATGAAATATTTTTTTAAAACACTGTGGAGTAGAAAGACATCCCACCCCCTAGTTATGGGTGTATGAAACATCCCCAGGTGGCTTATATAGTCCTCCTGCACCCATTTAATCTTCGTAACAAAACCCTGTGAGATCGAGTGAGGGACTGGCCCAAAGTGGGACCTGTCAGTGGCCAGTGAGCTTCATGGCTGAGCAGGGACTAGAACCTGGATCTCTTAGGCCCCCACTCCAACACTCTCACCACCATGCCATGCTGGTCTCACACTATTAGGTTACCCTGATGAGATTAGCAAGCATGTTCAATGGTGATGATCATTTTTCCCACAGCAAAGTTATGAGGATGAGGATGTAACTATGCAGGATTCATTTAATCACAGTTGTTCTGTTCCTGGGCTTGTACCAATGTATGTATTTATGACATGTAACATACGAGCCTGTATTATAATTCCATAAAGTGAGCACACAGCCAATCAGGCTGCTCCACCTGTGTCCGTATGGTAACAGAATAAGTATTTCAAGAAGACTGGTGATTCCTGTTACTTCTGGCCAATGAACAGACCCCTGAAACAAAGGTATCCAGCCAGGAATACATTATTAGACTTCAAGAAATTTCTTCCAATAAAGGCTGTGATGATTTATGGAACCCGGTGAAAAGAAGATGAAATGACTTCACCCATCGATCTTCTTTTATGTTCAAAGGTATGGATGATGCTTGAATCAAATGTGAGAACACATAACATCATGAGTGAGCTCAGTTTCCACATAACAACCTTTTCCAACCTGGTGCCCTGCAGTTGTGTGGAATTACAACCCCATCATCATGACAGCAGGGGAAGGTGGGAACTGTTCAAAACATCTGCACAATGCCAGGTTAGGCTAGACTGTTTTACAGTCTTCCCAGAAGTTTCAAATAACATCCTACTGCAGCCAAAAATAGTTCTGTTTAGATTATTATTTTTAAATCCTAAATCAGTAAATGAATGAATAGCCTGGCCTGCTCCCTAGCCACCTGCCCTCCTGTGCTTTCCACAGAGTTCCCATTCCTCTTCCTGAGCACTTTGTCCCATACAATCATCTCTTCACTTGTACCAAGTGGTTTTGACAACTGCTGTGTTGTGAAAGTCTGTGTGCTGAAAAAGCAAATGCCTCTTCTTTCTACAGACTCCTAATTCAGTCCTGATCATGGACTTTGTACTAATTTGAATATGGCAAAAAGTGTGTGTAGTAAAACCACACACCTTTTCCAGGCCAGAAGATTTTATTATTATCTGCCAGTTCCCCTAAATGCAAAAGTTAAGACTGGACCATGGGGGTGGGGAATGCAGGAATTGGAATGCTGAAATGGAGAGAGAAACAAGGTTTCAATTTCTTCAGGTAATTACATTTGATAACAATACAAGATCTGAAAGGTAACAGATGGAAAATGGAAACTAACAGTGCAATCTTATTCAGATTTAATGAGAACCAAGTCTCATTCCATTCAATGGGGCTTTCTCCCATAGAAGGGCTCCTGTGATTGTAGCCTCAGAATACACACGGACTGGTTTAAGCCCCATTGTCCTAAGTGGGGACTACTTCCAAAAAAATATACATAGGACTCCATTGTAAAGGCCTTCCTGTATGCTGATAGAAAAACTGCTGTCTAGCCGTGTGAAGGAAGTATTATTATTAACATAAAGACAAGGAATTGTTTCAGTGTGGGAACATAAGCTGCCTCCTTGCAGAAAAAACCCCCCTAACCCTTTATTTATCTCTCCCTGATAGTTCTTGGGCCAAAGACCCACAACTATTGGAAGCTCTCTAGAACTGCATTTTTAGCTTTAGTGTGAAATCTTGCAAGCCGGCAGGGGACAGTGCATGGTGTGAACAGCTTTGCAATACTGTCCTTAAAAAAAGTTATAGACCTGCTCTGGCTTTGCTCAGCATGGGAATCCAGAGGACTGAGGAAATTTAAACAAAGTATGGTCAGAGGCCTGAGAAGCTCCTGGTTCTCTTGAAAATGGGTGTGATAGCCAAAGCTGGGGTTTCATCACTGAGCTTAGCACTTTGTTGTAGATACAAACATTAACTTTTATTCTCACATCTTGGTCTCCAGGGTACATGTTGCATTACAGTATATTTTGCATTTAGCTCCTTTGCCCATCTTTGAAAATATGTAGGTCAAGCATGTGTTTTAACTTTTATTGAAAAAATAGGTTATAAACCAGGATGGACTACTTCTGGCCATTGTAATATTTTAAACTACAACTCCCATCATCCATCACCATTGGTTATGATGGCCTGGGCTGATGAGATTTGGAGGGCAATATCTGCAGAGTGACAAGTTGCCCAGCCCCATCGAAAATACACATTACATTAGTACAGCCTTACTATGCTCTCTTAATTTGGAATCAATTATAACATTATGGCAATTATAACATTGCACTATGTTTTACATTTTTTCCGTGCCCCAGTTGAAAGAGAAAGCATGGGTCACTGGAAATACAATACTGAATGATGTCTTGACATGTTTCTCAACTTTCATGCTGATACGTATTTCAGGCTTCAAGGGAAATTCCACATTGTGCTGTGCTTTTACAGATTTCCCGGCTCTTTTGAAAATTGGAACAAGGATCACGCTAGGGACATTTCAATGCCT